AGATGTTTCGTAATACAACAACGGCAAAAAGAATGTTGGTTTGTCGGACACAGGACAGGCTCTTTCAAGACGTTGAAGCAAATCTGACACAGAAAATTTTGACTGACTTTGGTCTCGAAGCGTTCTTCATCGTAGCCTTGTATATATGAAGCCATATTTCACGTCGTTCTTGTGTCGTAATAATAAAGCAAGTTCTGTGTTGTTTGTCGCTCTGTAGTATAAACCTCGCTGTATAGACTGAATATAGATACAGTGTTCGTTCTTGAAGATGTCTGTGTTTGTATTTTCTCGAAATCCTCTCCAAAATGATCAGTTTATGCAGACAAATATCTCTTCCTTATAAAGTATTTGCATAAAATGCATCATTTGCTGTCAGGAATTGTTGGAATTTGCTGCGGTGTTTCCACAAATAAATTTCCAAATATCGCGAGCTGAGAGAGAGAGCTGGGACTGGAGTATAACGCACTGAGCTATGTATGCCAAGTGAATGGGTCAAACTGCATTGTCCAGCATTATGAACCTAGATTTTTCCTAATCGTGTCAGATGATTTTACTCATCAGTGGAAGAGTACTGTCAGTTAATAAATTAACAAAACTATCTGTCAGTGTCTCTTGTTAACCCATTAGCTTGCAATGCACCCAGATGTGACCTACTTTAGCATTTTACTGTGTTTATGTCAGATGATTTTACTCATCAGTGGAAGAGTACTGTCAGTTAATAAATTAACAAAACTATCTGTCAGTGTCTCTTGTTAACCCATTAGCTTGCAATGCACCCAGATGTGACCTACTTTAGCATTTTACTCTGTCTAATGTCAGATGATTTTACTCATCAGTGGAAGAATACTGTCAGTTAATAAGTTAACAAAACTATCTGTCAGTGTCTCTTGTTAACCCATTAGCTTGCAATGCACCCAGATGTGACCTACTTTAGTATTTTACTCTGTCTAATGTCAGATGATTTTACTCATCAGTGGAAGAGTATTGTCAGTTAATAAGTTAACAAAACTATCTGTCAGTGTTTCTTGTTAACCCATTAGCTTGGAATGCACCCAGATGTGACCTATACTTTAGTATTTTACTCTAAGTGAAGTTGAATATTTTCGCGGTGCAATAATATTCCAATCTAAATTAGTTTTCATCAACACACAAATGGTTCAGGATATCTTGTGGATTGATCTACAGCTGTGGTGAATAAAAAAAACGCAACTTCAAAGTGTTTATGAAATTCACTTTCGTTTTGATCACAAAAGATCGTATAGCGTATCAAAATATTCATAAATATTAAGTGTTGCATTTTTTTAAACATCCTGTATAAGTGCGGTCATTATATCGATGAAAAGCCATTTCAAGCTAGAAGATTAAATTTTAGCAGATCAAAGATGTTTGGAGTTGTTAAGATCGTTGTTATATTCCTAGTCTTTGCAGGTACTGGAATACATATTGTGATATATATCTTTGTACATAGAATTCTCAAGTATCACTTCGTTATTCTTCATCGTATTTTTCTGGATTTATTTTTCTAGATAATGGGGTTGAATGTTTTAAACTTGGTCAGCTTTGCAGCTCAAATGGTAGAAATTTAATCCGTGGATGTGACAGTCAGGGTTGTGGTGATTTCGGAACACCAAGGTAAGACCAGATGTAACCTTGTAGCAACAAAGCGAATCGATAATATTCTTATAATCTTACAAAACAATTAAATTAACGTGAATTTATCATTATACAGAGTCTCTCGTACACACAATGGTGTCGACATAATTTGCAAATCAGGGAGTTCTGTCATGACACCATTTGCTGCGAAGATCTGACGAAAATCACGTTCTTATTCAAACAACAACAAACCATATAACAATGGATTGTATATTCAAGGAACCGGAGAAGCCGAAGGTATCATCTCTCTCACATTAACAACCAAATTCATATTAGGCACGGGAAATTCATCTTAGACAGGAAAGTTGATTCTAAAAACCCGTCTTAATATGACTTGGAATGGATATAAAATTTACACGTGTGATGGGTCGGGTAATGCTAAAAAGGGTATCGTGATTATTACGATAATAATTTTGTTTATTTTCTCAGTTAAACGCGCCTCACACGAGAGCTGGTAGCTGAGGTAAAGACCTCGCGAGGCTGTTAGCTCAGCAAGTTACTTTCGTGTGCGGATAGTTTTTCGTGAGGAATTCGCCTCGAGAGGCAAGTTTCTATCGTGTGCTATTAGTTTTCAGGCTGAGTTAACTGCCTCGCGAGGTCGTTTGCTCAGCTGATAGCTCTCTTGTGCGGCGGGCTTTACCCTTGTTCCGTCCTTGACCGTGTTGATGTTTCAGAAACTCGTCTGATTTATCCGTCTAAATGCGAATTTAAGACGAGTTTCTCGTGCAGAAGAGATTCCCCTTCAAATTAACCGTTTGTTTAGACGGGAAAGTTAGGCGGGAAAATTCTGACGAGAAACCCGTCTGTGGCCTGATTCACATCAGACGAGTTTCCCGTCTAAGATGAGTTTCTAAGAGGAGTTTCCCCTGTAAGACGAGTTTCCTTTTTTCCCTGACCTTGTAAGACGAGTTTCCCGCCTCTAATATGAATTCTGCTATACTAAATTTTAAACTATAATGCATTTCTCGAAACAGAATGAGTAATGATTTGGTCATTGACTCCCGTCACCCCCCGGGATAGGTCTAAATGGAAATTTCATGTCGTGCTCTCCAGTAAAGATAAAAATACAATAAAAAAAAAGAAAGTGTAGACACAGAATACCTATCAGAGGAACAACTCCATAGTTTTTTGCATAAGTGGTTCCGTCACTCAGCAAGTACTGTAAATGAAGGCAATCACCCCCCTGCCAACAGCGCCATTTTCAATATTGGCAGGGGGGGTGATTCTTCCCATTAACGGTACTTCCTGATTGACAGACCTCGGGAATTTCTACCCCCCCTGCTATAAGCCGCATTTTTAAGACTTGCAGGGGGGTGATTCATTACATTTACAGTACAAGTACCCGTAAATAAAGGCAATCACCCCCCTGCCAACTGCTCCATTTTTAATATGGTCAGGGGGGTAGTTCCTTCCATTAACGGTACTTGCTGAGTGATGAATCTTTGGAAAGAGTCCCCCCCTGCTAACAGACGCATTTTTAAGACTTGCAGGGGGGTGACCCATAGAGGTCCAATAAAGAGGGAGAGTGTTAAAATTGAATAATGAATTTCTTTTTCAGATATAAAATGGATACTTCAGGTGGTCTTGGAAGATCTGCTGGAAAGGTATCCATATTCACAATTTTCTTCTTCATATTCGCAGATATTCCCTCCATAATCGTAAATTTTTTTCCCTGTGAAAAACCGTACTTTTTGTAGTGAAATGTTTCAGATATGGCGTGTTGGTCTGATGGGTTTGAACAGTACAAAAGATAATGTAAATCTTGTGCTAAAAGCCTTCAAGGACACGATGGAAAACGTGAAATTACAAAACAATCTGTGAGCAAACTTGAAACAAGAATTTTATTTTAGTTGACAAACCAATTTATATTAGTTAATCAGGGTTTTGTTTTAATAAAGAGTAAAACTATCTCTCCAAATCTTGTTAATTGTTAAATTTTAAAATATGACTTGGTTTGTGGCAGTCTGACAGACACAGACATCATTTACAGACAGGCTGATATTTAAAATAGGTAACTGAGCTATTTCTTGAGGCAGAGGCTCAGTTAGGATTCTTGGTCTGGGGGACCGGGGCAGAAGAACCCAGGTGGGGAGGGGTGGGCTTGTGGCTGAAAAACAAAGGTGGGAGGGGGTGTATGAAAAAACCTGTGGGAGGGAGGTTGTAAAAAAACCTAGGTGGAGGGGTTGCAGAAAATCTTATTTAAATTTTTTTATTTCATGTTTCATTTTAAACCTTCCTGAATGGAAATATCTATTTCAAAGATTTGTTGTTGTTCTTTAATATATAATTCAAAGAACTGACTCAATTCAAATTCAATCACAAAAATACAAATCAGAATATATCTGACAATCAACTTAGAATGCTACAATCTATTTCTATAACTTTGTGAAAATCTTATAGTTCATTTCAATTGTTCATAATATGTTAGGAGTTTTCACTTAATACCTTACATATTGTTCACACAACAACACCAGTGTGTATCCATCTTGCTTTAGACATTTCTGGAAATTCTTCCCAAGAATACCTATCAAAGTTGAAACTTTCAACTGACTTCAGGTGTCCTTGCTCACCAGATCCTCCCAGGACTACAATGTTGTTTTCAATAACAACGGCAATACATCCCCACCTCTTACATCTCATTGATGGCAGCATGTGACTTTGTCCTGTCTTTACATTGTAAATGATAACTGTATCTAATGTCTTGGCATGTTTGTCGGCCCCACCAATAACAACAATGTTGTCTCCCCATCTCACAGTTGCCATCTGACTCACTTCATACGGCAGTGGTGACAACTGTTTCAGCTCATTCTTCTTTATATTGTACAGTATGACACTGCTGAGATTGTCGTTGTTATAGAGAGTTGTTTTTCCACCAACTATCAACAAATTATCATCAAATATTTCCATGCTGTGACCATGTCTTGGTTCTGGCATTCTTGATAAGGTATTCACAGTATAGGGAGGAACAAGCTGGACTGATCTGATCAAGTCAGATGAACCATTTCCATTATCACCTCCAGATACTATCAACTGATCATTATACAGCACACTGCTGTGGTATTCCAACTTATCAGGTAGTTTAACAGGACAATCACTCCAGTGTGTTGAGAGATCAGGGTTTGGATCAATATTCATTCTAATCATATCATCAACAATGTCAGACAAATCACACCAACCCCCAGCTATAGTCATATGATTGTTATAAATAAATGAAGTCGCTCCACAACGATCCTTTGGCATTGATTGTAATGGCGACCATGTTCTTTGACGCCAGTTAAACATCTCTACAGAGTTAGTCAAAAAACCTCCAGCAACAATAATATTTTCCTTATCACTACTTGCTGTTATTACGCACTGTTCACAAGGTCTAAAGAGATTGGCTAAGACAAATATTTAGTGGCCGTGGTGGTCGACCAATCACATGTCGGAAGCGAATAAGATGTCTCTTTATACATCCGCTTATAACTCACAGGCTGTTATGTACTTACGCATGTGTGATATTATTAAATTTTGAACTAGATCGAGGCACAAAATATGCGCGTGCTGTTGTTTATAACTCACAGGCTATTATGATACTTGCGCATGTGTGATATTATTAAATTTTGAATGATACTTATATATGCATGTGTGATATTATTATTAAATTTTGAATGATACTTATATATGCATGTGTGATATTATTAAATTATGTTCAAGCTATCAAAACTGAGCCACATGAAATATCAGAACCATGTAATATCTTTTTGGTAATATCCAGCTGTCATTGCAAAGACAAAATCTACGTACAGAACCATATAATATCTAGCGTGTACGATATAGACGTATGTATCCGCCTGGCTTTTCAGGGTGTCTGCGCGCAGGCTATGTAATATCTTATGGGGCGTTTTCGCAATGTCCTGCTGTCAGGGCAAATGTAATATCTTATGGGGCGTTTTCGCAATGTCCAGCTGTCAGAGCAAAGATAAAATCTTGCACAAACAAACCTAAATATTTTTGTCAAAAAAGCTAGGAAAGTATACCTTTAGGCATTATACACCCATGCAGGTATTCAAACTAGTCGTATTCAAAATAGTCAAGAAACGAAGTCGTCCAGAATTGTTAACAGCATTTAGTTCAAAAGTGTACTGAAAGCAATGAGCAAACGTGGCCGTGGTTCCTGCCCTAACTGCAATGCAGCGTACTTCAATCGCTCAAAACCACCACAATGTGGAATGTGCGGTCACGCGTTAGGAGGAACATTCGAACCCTCGAGTAAGAAAATGAAGTATTCTCCTCAAGCAGTAGAGGTTTGTGAAAGTATATTTAGCGTCAAAACCAGCACAAAAGATGATCGCTGTTTTGTTACCACCGATGGTACTATGTGGTTTTGTAGCGTGGAGGCCTGCAAGATTGTAAGGTCAGTGTCACACCAGTCATCGCGCTTGGCCAATTTTAGTTGCCGTCATGTAGACGAAGCCAAGGATTGCACTAAGACTCCGCCAGTTGCTATTCTGAAACCGGATTTAGATAAATTTGTTGGTAGTGAAAGCCTTAAAAGTTCCTTACAATCAATATTAAATTCAGCTGCATGTATGCAGAATTGTGTCATACAGGTGTCTGATAGAATGTTTTGTGTGCTGGGACAAACTTCAGCAAGCAATCCCCTCGGATACTGTCATGTCCGCAAAGGGACAAAAGATTGCGATTACGTTTGTACAGGAAAAGACTGTCGGGGATTCGCGGCAAAAGGGAAGCAAGTAAGAACGAAATCAATGTGTACACACATAGCTTTGCTACGGTCATGCTTTGTCGCTACTAGTAAAGACGTCATTTCTTCTGCTGGTGAATCATCGACAGTGGTTGCTTCAACAGATGACGCAGCCGACAAAACGAGCCAACGTAGTTCGACACTGACTTTGGCAGAAAGGGTAAAAGTCCTGCCATATGTTCTACCGAGTGAGTTGTTGCATTCCATAGCGAAGAGGGATGCTTCAACATTACTTGGTGTTGGCGAAGGTTGGCCAAATAGTTTCAAACCCGATTTTGGAAAATGTCAGCTATGTGGCTCCGAGTTAGGTGACTGCCGCACCCATCCAGGGCAATCTCAAGACAACACATGCTATCTTATCACAGAACTTAACCCCTTCAAAGAAGTAAATATTATGGTGAAAATATGCTCATCCCGCGTTTGTTCTGCCATGCATCAAGCGTCGGTGGAAAAACTAGGTAGGGATAAAATAATATAATACTATATATGTATCTAAAACTCTACGTCGGTGAGCTTTATTATTAATTTTAGTAATTATTTCCATATAGGTTTGTTTAACGTCTCCGACAAAGTTTTGGTTTCGCTGGATATCCTATTGGAATTCAGGGAGTTTTTTAAGAAAGGGCAACCTATTGGAAATATTATTCATGCAAAGCTTCAAACTCTGAAAGCCAAATGCAAGGAGGTTAGTTCATGTAATGAAATAATGTTTCAGCTTGCTTGCTTTGAATGCTATAGCTTCGTCGAGTTCGTTCCAGATACAGGACGAATTTCGGAGCTCAATATATGCGTGTCCATGAGAACATATAAGAACGAGTCTATAACCTGTTTCTTAATTAAACTTATTTATCTATATATTTCTTTTAGAATTCTGTCCCGACAGATGGCGAGATGGCGTACATCGAGGATTTACTCTATAATGGTTTTTATAGTTTTGAGATGGTAACGGAAAGAAATCTCGATGACGTGGTCTGTGGTATATGTGGTGTATACCCTGAAATATGTTTGGGCGATGGCAATGAAAAAAATTCTTGCACAAACCGTCAGGTTTGAAATATTTTATACTACACGTGTATATATTATATGCTATATGTTAAATTGCGATGAACTCAAACGGCGCTATGCCATTTTCTTTATATTTTATAATAGGTCAACTATACTAAAGATGATGAGGACCGCAAAGATATGGTTCCATTACAAGAGTTCCTTAAAAAACTTCGACGTCGTTGGCTCGAGAAAACGGTTTATACAAGATCGAACGATAAGTTTTCAGTCGCGATAGAGGAACTGCCACCCATAATTGCACCTAGTCTCACTGGGACCGCAATAAACACCGAGACTAAAAAGAAAAGTGTGTACCTTAAGTCACATCAGCCGACAGGTTAGGGACGTCCAAATGTCTTGAAATGATAACAGTAGGATATCCCGATAAGTCTCCTACATTTTGGCTGAAAACTGTGGCTATTATATACTGATTCTGGAACGTTCATATGTTCAGGTGATCCGGCACTCCTACACAAGTTTATCTCAGAAGGAAAAGTTGATATGGATGTACTCAAAGAATGCGACGCAACGTTTATCAACGATATAGCCCTAGCTTGTGGGATACCTATAACAGGGAAATCTAAGGTTTGCTGATTATAGCTAAATGCAGTTAATTATAAGTTTATAACATAAGATTTATCGGAGTCTTATATAATTATGTTTCAGTTTCTGCTTTTAAAACTGCTTGCTAAAAATATTTATTATCATTGCAGCAATACTTGTGTGGCGTACTGCATGACTTGTACGGGAGCATTTTAATTGGTAACTGTCCATGTCATGGTTTTGGGAAAGTGCCCGGACACACAGGTGGATTTTATCATTTGCTTTGCCGCCACGGGGTGAGTTGTAACAATTAAAACGTAATACGCGATCGTACGGTCATGTAGCCTATTTAATTGGTATTTGAATTTTTTCCTAGGCAACAGTTGCGTCTAAATTTTTGGCGCTGACGGAGTCTGTTAGGGATGCTGCTGACCTGTACCTGTCTTTGAAACACCCCCCTGTTGTGTTTATTAATGACACGCCTTGCGGATTTGTTCGCCACCTTGAATGCAGGGATCCCAAAACAGCCGAAAAGTTGTGGGGAATGAATGCTGGGTGTTTTGAAAAGCCTGAATTAGGAAGAAAACCTAAGGAAGTGAGTATACATTCTTGCCTGTCGCCGGCTAATCTTTTCTAATTGACAATCATTTATATGACCAGGTACAAATAACCTTGAGAACCTTGGCCCTTGAGAATGTTGGTTTAAGATAAAAGATTTGTTTTTAATGTAATGATAATTATCCGGATGTGCGGAAATATTTGGATCGGAACTGATAGATAATTGGGACAGATGCATGCCTTCGGGTTAAACTCTTAAATCGCATGACAAATCCGTCTTTGTCACTTTACCGTTGACTTAGCTGATATGCATAATTTGTTTCATGCAGATGAGGAAATGTTGGCATATATATGTATGACACATATAACATTGACGCAAATCTTAATTCGGTATAGTGATTATCACCGCAAGTCTACAAAATATAGTAAAACGTATATATTACAGCACATGCACTTAGAATTATAATTCCAATATAACCATGCAGACATTTAATGAAACAGACAGATCTGAAAGATATCAACACTACTACACTAGCTAATTTTAACAGAAACTGTATTGAATTATAAATAGTTCAAAAACTTATTTTATAGAATCAAAACGTTCCTGCCATAGTTCCCCCAGAATACAGTGATGGAACCGTTCGACCCTCGTGGGAGTTTCTCCGCGAGGATGGCGCGTCCCATTCCCAAGATGAAATGAATCATGCAATGTCGCAATGCCATTTCGTCCTGGGTGACAGATTTCATTCTGCCTCGGAACCTCATAAATCACCGTTATGCGAATACCACAACATCGATTTGTGTATACAGGCTCCAACCATTAAAACCAGTATTCAGGAGTCTCAAAATCACCGAAAGAACTTAAGACGTTTACGAAGTTCCTGCATGCAGAGCTTTGAAGTGCATATTGCGTACAACTTTTTAATGGACTTCTACCAAAACGAGGAGATTGTATGTAGGCAGAAGAAGACTTTAGAGAAATCTTTAGGGATGGGAGAAAAATTGACGAGAGACAGTAACCTAAGGTTCATAATTCAATGATTCGCGCGTGTAATATTATATATATGAATTGAACTGCATGAGTATGTAGCTACGAAATACTACAGATATATACATAAATAATAATGTAACATTTCCTGATTTGTAAATAGGATTAATGACGTGAATTTTATTCGACACCAATGCGCCCTATAATTGTTTGAAAAAATAAACACAAAAAAATTCTATATATTTATACTCAAAATATGATTTAAAGCATTTACTTTTGTACGAAATCCATTTCTATTTTGTCGGAAAAGAAACACCTGAATACCTTTTATTAATTACATGCATGCAGTATAAGTATAGCCATGCATGAACTATTTTACATGCATGATTTACTGAGAACGATTTTAAAACTGTTCAATTTTTCTTTTGCACTTTGCATATAACTACTTTAAAATAATTTGTCTTAGTCGTTATTGAAAAAACGAACAAAAGTGTATGATTATGTTTTGTCCGCAATATAAATATATACATCATGGGTAATGGGTTGCCGCATCGTAACCCTCTTTCCGAGGGTTAAGTACATGTTGACATACGTCTAGGCCATAATGGGAAAAGCTATATATATATATAGGGCGTTCCTATAATATCAACAACTTAGCATGTAATTAGCACTTGTCACTTTTGTAAATGGTCACTTATATACTTAAACGTGATAAACATCTGAGGTACTTTTTTATCCATGCACCTGATGCATGATCATGCCTGACACCCGTCGGGCATTGAATGGTATAAGACGTGTTGTGCCCTAAGATTTTGGCATTAGGTAGAACGAACTCGAAATGATGAAATGAGACAAAATTTTCAAAAGCCTGGTGAAAATTTATCAAAAAGTAGATTAGATAAGCTAAGCTTGTTACGTCGTGTTAGGTATGAATCTTTAATTGCAATCCCCTATATGCTGCGATATTTTCAATATGATGGATGATGTTATATGCACAGATCCGACATAGGCTTAGAGTCTGCGACTGTTCCGGGCGATAACGTTGAAAATATTTAGCCGGTTCATTCAATTTTATCTATATACCTGTAGGCCTTTTATATGATTAAAGAGCTCAGATTTTTATCAATGCTAGTCGCAAGTGACGATTACGGCATATGACAAGTGCTGCAAATCATCTGTTGAAAGTACCTAACAATAGAAGTAAACGCCCGTAAGGCCCATATATTTATGAAATTAAGACTTAGCATTCAGCCTTTAGCAACCTTCTAATACTTCCATTTGTATTGAAACAAAGATCTGAATTAACTAGATTAAAAAACTGCCTAGAAGGGGTCATCTATTTAATTTATCTAAGTTCCCCTACATCTGGGTTCTTAAAATAATTGTTTTGTGCACGCATATTTTATTCTGTCTTTTGAGCAATCTGACCGAACGCACATGGTATCGGTACAACCTCTAACGTGCGCCTTATTGCGGCCACAGTGAACGCCTACATGAAAGCCTTGGGCAATTTTTGACGACTATCAACATTAAGGAATTTCTTTCCATCAACATTTGTCAACATCTAGTTTAGGCCACACACAATCGCAACAGGAATTTAAATTGTTGGGAGTATAAATTTGGCTGTCCTAGCTAGAGCGAGCCACAATCTTAATTTTAACAGTGATTCAACAGTGGTAGCTATATTGTATAGTAACATTCGGTAACAGTCAGGGAAATGGCACATTTTGAAGAAAGAATGGTAATTAAGTTAAAGAAAAATATCTCTTTTTTAAGACCGTATAAAAACTCCACTATATAAACAATTAAAAATAATTGTTTCATAATAGGAGGGAGGCTCGGTGTTTTTGGTGGACAATGGGAAAACGATGGTAAACGATGAGGATGGTCGTAGAATTTTTGGAGACTTCTCACTGAAACTGCAAGGGCAATTAATACCAAATAACCCATTGGTTAAAGAAAAGCATGGCAACTGGGTGGCTACGTGTACGTCGCAAGTGAAAGGGCGTTTGGAAACGAAGTAAGATATTTTTTCTTGGCATTATTCCACTTGTCTTATCTATCAAAATGTCGTTATAACTCACAGATATGTTAAATCACGATGACTTATTTTAATAATTCAAAATCATTTAATGTGTCTCATTTCTCATTGAATCCCGTGAAAGCGGTTTAATATGTAAACATCTAGCACCGCACCTGCCCATTATACTGGCCCTGCTGCATGTTATCGAACATATTAGAGCAATAGGTAATAATTGATGTGCATTCACGTGCTACTGTTACAGAACTATAGTTATACCAGCCACCGCGTTTGATTCGAGGTCGAAATTTCTCCAAGAACTTAGAGGAAGTTTTGGCTCTGCCATTTTAAACCTTGGTGGGTCAGTGACTACAAGTACCCTTGCCGACTACTACACATATTTGAAGAACGACGTGACCAACAGCGATAGAAGTTTGTATAAAGCGCAAAATTTGGGTTTTCAGCCGGACGGATACTGCTTCCTTTCAAAGGAGGTACATATAAATATAATTCACTTCTGCATGGGATATTAATTTTACATAATGTGGATTTAGTTTTGTAAGCCTGATCCGCCTGACTATTTTGGGTTAAATTAAAATAGAATGCTCTTCACGCACTCATGAATTAAGAGGCTATTAACTAAACTGTGTGTGGCAGCCTATAAATTATGTACTTATACCAAAAGGGATTTAGCGGGCGAAACTTCATGCTTATCATGCAATTATAACAAATTCAACAAATCATTAAAATTCCATTATTCTAATATTCTGTTATTGCAGTTGCATATCAATCACGGTGAATTAGTTAGACAAGGTGAACGGATATATTTTGTTGACGACGAAGATATTTACCGACATGGAACAGAATTAGGCAGGCATCTTTTGGATCACCATAGATTGCGATCTGTTTGTAAGAGGTAACTGTTACTGTGCACATAATTGTAAATAAAAGTAAATGTTAGTGAAATTTTATAATTTATAGCATATATTTTACAAATAAGTTAATTAGGTAAGTTTGAACAGATCTTTTTTTTCAACTATCAATCATTTAGCATGGAGACAGAGAAGGGTGTTATTAGCCTTCGAATAAACCCTTCCTTCTTTTTAAATACAAGTGATATTATCCATAAAAATGCGACAATAATGTTAGGCTTACGTTTTCTCCATTTATAGTTATATTGAGTTATCATCTCACTTTGGCATGAATGCAGTCTCATTTAAACTTGCGACAGCATTTGTGCTAAATGCCATAATCAAAAATGCCCAGAGGATTCGGCAAAGTCAATACGAGAATGAAGCTAAAGGTGAACAACTGGTCGTCGGCCGGTTTGCTTATGTTAATTAGTTGCATATATAACAAATATCGTTTGTCAACATTATGGTTCAATTTAGAACAACCTTTAGTTTCTAATATTTGGTTTTTACTTTTATTTGTATATAGTCGAGAATGTAATTGGCATGCTGTTTTCCGATATCGCTGAACGAAATGTTGGGAAATCGTTAACATTGGAAACACTAGCAAAAGCACAAGGAATATTCGGAGATGGGCACCCACTTTATTGTTCTGGCGGTGACCAAACAATAAGCGGTGTTTCAATGTATGTTAGCACTTACTATACATATAGGTTTTCGATAGGATTCAGTTGTTATTAAATTATTATTTTCAATGTTGTTTTCTGTCATAGCAAGATGTTGATGTCTGCCTTAGTGAACACTACTCTGGTTTGTTTGGTTGATGATCCACGAATCAACGCCACTTTAAGTGAATTTTTACTTCAATTACATGGAGGTTTAGCACAAGGATCGTTCAGATCCGGCCTAGCAGTTCCACGTGGTGGTATACTTATGAGCACAAACGTTCAGGAAAGCGAAAGGTACAATAATATTACACGAATTTTACGTTCATGACTACATGCCAATGATAACGTTTACATCGATTAATTTAGGTATATGATACCTCTATCATGTAATTTTAAAAAGTGGTATCTTTGGTGGTACCTTGCTTTCACCGTGTTTCAGTGAAAAGTAATTTATAAAAGTCAGTTGAGTAAATTGGGTAAAAATCATAAAAAGAAGCCAGACATTCAATTCTGGTAGAGTTAGCTCTCACCAGAGAATGTAGCTGTAACAATTAACAGTACTGAACTAAAATATGACGTCGTATTGATATTTTAATGTGTTTTCCCTATTTTATTTGAAGAATATACGGACGATGCATTAGAATCGACTACTATAAAGATGGAAACTTCTCTTTTGAGGATGAAAAAACTTTAAATGAGGATTTACAAATTCTGGTAACAGAAAACAAGGTATGAATTTCAATAGACAATAACAAAACCATTCATGCACTATATTAAATCTATACGATATTGAGCACTCTCCGATATTTCATGGTTTAGATGCACACCATGATCGATATTTAAGATATTCTTTCTATCAGGGTTTCTTGGTTGCATGGGTGGTGCTTTTCCGAAAGTTGTGGCTTGATCATAAAGATGAACCATTAAAAAAGATCAGAGCGTTGCTAAAAACACTGGTACCAGAGCAAGACCAAGACAGATGGTTCAAGGGCGCCGCGAGTATTTTGTACACCTACGCTCTTGTAAGTATATAACATACATGTACTCTTTATGCAAATGAAAACGTCATGAAGTGCGTAAAAGACACCCAAAATTTTCTATGGGGAACATTTATATAGCAAAACGTCACCAAAGAAAATCATGTAATTGTGACGATGATAACATATTTTCAGCAACTTGTTTGCTTAACATATTAGTTTCATAAAGTCGCTGGAGTTCAAGTTGATTTGAAAAACGCCGTTCAACACGTAGCTAGCTGTGGGCAACTTCGCGGAGCACATAAGAAACTGTCTTTTTGGGAGCGTTTCAGATGTTCAATCAGTGACAACTTACAGAATCAGGAAAAACCGGTAACGTTTCATATATTTATTATGTCATATTCATTATAGCTATTTATTATACTATATATAATACTATATATAATATTATAATACATAGTTAACTGTATAATTATTATATATAGCCGCTGACATGGTTAAATCCATGTGTGACCGTTTGTGTGGCTGATGCATTTATGCCGGCTATTGCCGTCAAACTCAGCGAGACAGGGCAGTTCACCAATGTTGGCAACAAGGCGAGTAATCATATATCCCAGTTAATCTATATTCAATGTATATTGCATGCATCGCACATATATTAAAAACGGGTACAAGAAATTTATTGTCTATTGTTACAGGAGATAAAGGATCATATCGGGCGAGCATTGAAAAAAGAGAATAATCTTGCCGAAACCGTAACGTTTGCGTTAGGGGATGCTGCAAGTCTAACCGATGTTAGAAGAAGACGTAATGGGCTTGTACGTAATGCAAGAGCGTACAAAGTACCAAAAGACCTATTAGGGTCAGACCTATGCCATTTTATTGAGCATGGTACGTATATATATGTATATTATGAAATATTATATTATATATATTATATTATTATATATATAAAATATATAAGATTTTTAAATTAATACTTCACATGTTTCTTATAGCATGTGGATTAAGAGAAGATTCGCCCCCGCGCACAAGCAGCCAGGAAGAACAAAATGCCGCTGTAGACAGTAGCGTTATCGACGAAACTCTCACACAACTTGTGACGTTTTTCGAGAGTATAACTGATACAGGTTAATAATAATAAAATTTGTAGTTGGTTTACGTAGCTTTTGCATTATATTCTTTTTTTTAATTAAATAAGTATAATTGATGAGAAACTACATATTTTTCAGATTATGAAAGTGAAGACCGCAGACCCAATGACAGTGAGGGGGCGCCAATTCATGTATGTCGGAAACCGAAAATTTTTTTTGGTTTAGTTTTCCTACAAAAAATTGTTGCATGCATTATATCTCGAATCCTATTCCAAAAAATTAAACTAATAGTCATTTTGTAGGAACTTTCTCCTAAAACTAGAGAGAAATACGATCTCCGATCACCAAGAGGAAAACGGAGTTATGAGCAGGTTCAATTTTGTAACATTTCGGTTTAATATATGTCATTTTTTTGGAAATTATTTAAACTAAAATTATTATATTTATTCGTATGTTGTTTAGGGCATCATAGATGGGATAAAGATCGCGGATCGCAGACAAGAAATTGTTGCCGAACGCGAAGGCATTGCTTGCCACGACAACGGTATGTTACGTTATACCGCCTTAGTTTGGATTTAACTCTTGTTAAAGACAATATTTCTTTTTATTAAAAACTTAAGATTTTTTATAGTTAATACACAATATAATATTACTGCGACTACGCCAATGCCATCGACAAGCTCAGGAGAATCGATGGAAAGTAAGTTTCACGGAACTGTGTATATTGCATGAATGCAACTGCTACCGCCTACCAATGGCGACATGGATTATTACATTAATATGCATGATATATAACATATAATTATTATTATATTATATTATATATATTATATTATATTATTTTATTATATTATATATATTTTATATTATATTATATTATATTATATTATATTATATTTATTATATTATATTATATATATTATATTATATTATATTATATTATATTATATTATATATATTATATTATATTATATTTATTATATTATATTATATTATATTATATTATATTAATATATTTATATTATATTATATTTATATAATATATTATATATATTATATTAATTATATTATATTATATTATATATATTATATTATATTATATTATATTATATTATATTATATTATATTATATTATATTATGTATTTTAATAATACGTGTAACTGATTGAATTAAATACCATTTTAGATGCTAAACGCCCCAAAAGGTGTCTGCAGTTCGCTACTGGAACCATAGGGGTGCTAGATAGTCAGAAAAGTACGTATATTATTAAAACCTTTGAAACACCAATAACTTAATATTAATGGTCATATATATAGATCTAGACGTACGTTTATATATCTTATATACTTTTATACAAGAAAATAGTTCTGCCGAAGATAAAGAGATTAACAACTCATGCACTCTTTGTGGTCAAGACAGTCCGCCTAGCAAAAAGGGCGGACAAATGATATCATGGATTGACTGCGACTCTTGCAAGGGGTGGTTTCATATGTAAATATTCTGAATATGAGATTTCCATCTTGTACATGATCTAGCTATGCAAATTTTATGTTATTATCATTAATCATTTCTTTACAAATTCATTGTTTTCACAGTCAATGAACACCAAAATATTAGCATAGCATGACTAAATTGTCGGGCTGGCTACGCCACTGTGTATATCCATTATAAATTAAAACGTTAAAAAAATACTTCGCAGTTAATGTAATGAACATTTGTTTTTATGTTACAGGTTGTGCTTGAAAATGAGGAAAAAGGATGCACCAGAAACATGGAAGTGTAGAAGCTGTTCTGTAATGTCTAGTATTAACTAATGTAACGACTTAATAAATGATTTATTAATTATATACCTTATTAATTATATACCTTAGAGATTTAACGAGGACGAGTTTGGTACATCGAGAATATATGCAAGTTTCTAGCTCTGAGACCATGTTTGGTATCTCCTAATACTAAAATACCCCTTGAGACAGTTTTAAAAAAGAGCTTTCCGGTTAAAATTCGACTATTGAAATCGTTCACCGTTGTGGTTGAACATACTGTACTATAATTAACAAACGCATCACAATCGTAGCGACTCTGCAGCTGCGGGGGGGGGGAATGCGATGGCGGCGGTAAGCAATTTTCAAATTTCTTGTACTTTTATAATTTTTACTTTTCACTTCCATTTTACTTTAATTTTTACTTTCATTTCTCGTGAGTAACATATATCTCCATAATCTCCATCCCAGAAATAAAGACATATTACATAACTAGACAATATTACAAATAGCAGGAGAAAGTGAGGGTCAAGAGCCCCAAGAAATGGACTCGGGACTTGAGAGAACGCTAGACTTTCTCCAATCTTTCTGATGGCTCTCTACATTGTAATTTACATGTAATTTACAATGTTTATGGCTATAGGGCCGTCAGAAATAGGGATTTGGGTAAGGTTTGTAATATGAATACAATTCTGTAACTGCAATACTGATTCCTATCAGTTATGCAAGATATATTAACATTTACGAAAGGAGTGTGCAGGAAATTTACACATTTAATGAATGCAATCTGGCCCAATCAGAAGCTTTGTTTACACTTTGAGTGAGCTTTTCTATGCGATTATTTCATTAACTTTTCTGTGAGTCGTTTTATGTGAATAACTACTGTAAAAGTTATGTGCAAAAGTACGATTTTAAGGTATGTTCTAACTTATAAGATTTGTTTATATAGATCAATGTCTTGTAAACACAAGTGCCATTTTCTTCCGGGAGTCCAAGTTAACTATATTGTGCAAATATTAAATGCCACAACTGCCACAACCACAACCGTAGTCACAACCCCCCAGAACTGCCACATTTGCAATAACTGCCACAGCTGCCACAGTCGCCACAACTGCCACAGTCGCCACAACTGCAACAGTCGCCACAACTGCAACAGTCGCCACAACTGCCACAGTCGCCACAACTGCCACAGTCGCCACAACTGCCACAGTCGCCACAACTGCAACAGTCGCCACAACTGCCACAGTCGCCACAACTGCCACAGTCGCCACAACTGCCACAGTCGCCACAACTGCAACAGTCGCCACAACTGCCACAGTCGCCACAACTGCCACAGTCGCCACAACTGCCACAGTCGACACAACTGCCACAGTTGACACAACTGCCACAGTCGCCACAACTGCCACAGTCGCCACAACTGCCACAGTCGACACAACTGCCACAGTCGCCACAACTGCCACAGTCGCCACAACTGCCACAGTCGCCACAACTGCCACAGTCGCCACAACTGCCACAGTCGCCACAACTGCCACAGTCGCCACAACTGCCACAGTCGCCACAACTGCCACAGTCGCCACAACTGCCACAGTCGACACAACTGCCACAGTTGACACAACTGCCACAGTCGCCACAACTGCCACAGTCGACACAACTGCCACAGTCGACACAACTGCCACAGTTGACACAACTGCCACAGTCGCCACAACTACCACAGTCGCCACAACTGCCACAGTCGCCACAGTTGCCACAACAACCACTACACCTTTGTCACCACTACCACCTTTCCAACCACTAGCCTCTCACAATCACAACAGAATGTATGATTCTTACACAAACAAAATTAATATTTGAACTTGATGTCTTAAGGAATTAATATTTGAACTTAATAGCTTAAAGAGATTAATGTTTGAACAGTGAAACTATATGATTGGTTGATTTATGCGTATGCCTGATTTCCCCGCGAAAAAACAACCCTCTTTTTGAAAAGCAGCGTTTAATGCTAAATAATTACCTACAGGTAGTTTTAGAGAAGGTCCCGAGAGTGTTTTTATGGACACACCATGGCTTCATACGACCTTCCGTGACGCCGTGCGGCGATCTTCGGATCTGCCATGTTCATCCTGCTGACGTTTGATTTTATCTCTCCTCTATATGAGAGTTCTCGCACTTTTTGTGAGTTTTTTGTTGGCCATAGGGTGAATGGTGCGGCGATCTTCGGATCTGCCATGTTCATCCTGCTGACGTTTTATAATCATTCTTTCACACATTCCAACTTTCAATTACGACAAAATTAATAACGATCGTTGTTATATTCCTAGTCTTTGCAGGTACTGGAATACATATTGTGATATATATCTTTGTTCATAGAATTCTCAAGTATCACTTCGTTATTCTTCATCGTATTTTTCTGTATTTATTTTTCTAGATAATGCGGTTGAATGTTTTAAACTTGGTCAGCTTTGCAGCTCAAATGGTAGAAATTTAATCCGTGAATGTGACAGTCAGGGTTGTGGTGATTTCGGAACACCAAGGTAAGACCAGATGTAACCTTATGCAACACAGCGAATCCATAATATTCTTATAATTTTACAAAACAATTAAATTAACGTGAATTTATCATTATACAGAGGTTCTCGTACACACAATGGTGTCGACATAATTTGCAAACCAGCGAGTTCTGTCATGACACCATTTGCTGCGAAGATCTGACGAAAATCACGTTCTTATTCAAACAACAACAAACCATATAACAATGGATTGTATATTCAAGGAATCGGAGAAGCCGAAGGTATCATCTCTCTCACATTAACAACCAAATTCATATTAGGCACGGGAAATTCATCTTAGACAGGAAAGTTGATTGTAAAAACCGTCTTAATATGACTTGGAAAGGATATAAAATTTACACGTGTGATGGGTCGGGTAATGCTAAAAAGGGTATCGTGATTATTACGATAATAATTTTGTTTATTTTCTCAGTTAAGCGCGCCTCACACGAGAGCTGGTAGCTGAGGTAAAGACCTCGCGAGGCTGTTAGCTCAGCAAGTTACTCTCGTGTGCGGATAGTTTTTCGTGAGGAATTCGCCTCGAGAGGCAAGTTTCTATCGTGTGCGGATAGTTTTCAGGCTGAGTTAACTGCCTCGCGAGGTCGTTAGCTCAGCTGATAGCTCTCTTGTGCGGCGGGCTTTACCCTTGTTCCGTCCTTGACCGTGTTGATATTTCAGAAACTCGTCTGATTTATCCGTCTAAATGCGAATTTAAGACGAGTTTCTCGTCCAGAAGGGATTCCCGTTCAAATTAACCGTTTGTTTAGACGGGAAAGTTAGGCGGGAAAATTCTGACGAGAAACCCGTCTGTGGCCTGATTCACATCAGACGAGTTTCCCGTCTAAGATGAGTTTCCAAGAGGAGTTTCCCCTGTAAGACGAGTTTCCTGTTTTCCTTGACCTTGTAAGACGAGTTTCCCGCCTGTAATATGAATTCGGCTAAACTAAATTTTAAACTATAATGCATTTCTCGAAACAGAATGAGTAATGAATTTGGTCATTGACTCCCGTCACCCCCCGGGTTAGGTCTAAATGGTAATTTCATGTCGTGCTTTCAAGTAAAGATAAAAATACAATAAAAATAAAAGAAAGTGTAGGCACAGAATACCTATCAGAAGAACTACTCCATAGTTTTTTGCATAAGTGGTTCCATCACTCAGCAAGTACGTAAATGGAGGCAATCACCCCCTGCCAACAGCCCATTTTAATATGGAGGGGTGATTCTTCCATTTACGGTACTTGCTGAGTGATTAATCCTGGGAATAGATCCCCCCCTGCCAACCGTCATATTTTTAATACTTGCAGGGGGGTGATTAATATAGGTCCAGTAAAGAGGGAGAGTGTTAAAATTGAATAATCAATTTCTTTTTCAGATGTAAAATGGATATTTCAGGTGGTCTTGGAAGATCTGCTGGAAAGGTATCCATATTCACAATTTTCTTCTCCATATTCGCAGATATTCGCTCCATAATCGTAAATTTTTTCCCTTGAAAACCTTACTTCTTGTCGTGAATTTTTTTAGATATGGCGTGTTGGTCTGATGGGGTTGAACAGTACAAAAGAAAATGTAAATCTTGTACTAAAAGCCTTCAAGGACGCGATGGAAAACGTGAAATTACAAAACAATCTGTGAGCAAACTTGAAACAAGAATTTTATTTTAGTTGACAAACCAATTTATATTATTTAATCAGGGTTTTGTTTTAATAAAGAGTAAAACTATCTCTCCAAATCTTGTTAATTGTTAAATTTTAAAATATGACTTGGTCTGTGGCAGTCTGACAGACACAGACATCATTTACAGACAGGCTGATATTTAAAATAGGTAACTGAGCTATTTCTAGAGCCAGAGGCTCAGTTAGGATTCTTGGTCTGGGGGAGAAGAACCAAGGTGGGAGGGGTGGGGTTGTGGTTAAAAAAACCTAGGTGGTAGGAGGGGGGTGAAAAACCTAGGTGGAGGGGGTGCAGAAAATATTATTTCAAATGTTTTATTTGGTGTTTTATTTTAAACCTTCCTCAATGAAAATATCTATTTCAAAGATTTGTTATTGTTCTTTAATATATAATCCTAAGAACTGACTTAATTTAAATTCAATCACAAAAATACAAATCAGTATATGTCTGACAATCAACTTAGAATGCTACAATCTATTTCTACAACTTTGTGAAAATCTTATAGTTCATTTCAATTGTTCATAATATGTTAGGAGTTTTCACTTAATACTTTACATATTGTTCACACAACAACACCAGTGTGCCACATTCTTGCTTTAGACATTTCTGGAAGTTCTTCCCAAGAATACCTTTCAAAGTTGAAACCTTCAACTGACTTCACTTTCTCTCCCTCCCTCCCAGGACTACAATGTTGTTTTCAATAACAACTGCAGTACATACCCCCCCCTCTTACATCTCATTGATGGCAGCATGTGACTTTGTTCTGTCTTGACATTGTAAATGATAACTGTATCTAATGGCTTGCCATGTTTGTCATCGCCACCAATAACAACAATGTTGTCTCCCCATCTCACAGTTGCCATATCACTCACTTCATACGGCAGTGGTGAGAACTGTTTCAGCTCATTCTTCTTTATATCGTACAGTACGACACTGCTGAGGTTGTCTTGTATGCCAGTTGGACTTCCACCAACTATCAACAAATTATCATCAAATATTTCCATGCTGTGACATTGTCTCGGTTCTGGCATTCTTGATAAGGTCTTCACAGTATAGGGAGGAACAAGCTGGACTGCTCTGATCAAGTCAGATGAACTATTTCCATTACGACCTCCAGAGACTATCTGATCATTATACAGCACACTGCTGTGGCATCTCAACTTATCAGGTAGTTTAACAGGACAGCCACTCCAGTGTGTTGAGAGATCAGGGTTTGGGTCAATATTCATTCTAATCATATCATCAACAATGACAGACCAACCACACCAAACCCCCCCAGCTATAGTCATATGATTGTTATAAATAAATGAAGTCGCTCCCCAACAATTCTTTCGCATTGATTGTAATGGCGACCATGTTCTTTGACGCCAGTTAAACAACTCTACAGAATTAATCCAAAAACCTCCAGCAACAATTATATTTTCCTTATCACCACTTGGTCTATTTCTTACTTTTCTTGTCTTTTCTTCTATCTTGCCCTCCATCGTGATAAGAACGTCCTTCATTTCATGAAAAGCTCTGACCAAAGCTGTTTTCAATCCTTTGACTTCGTTGTTAACCGCTTCGAGTTTTCCTTCCATATCTGCTCTTATATCTGCCGTTTTTTTGTCTATTTTTCTGTCAAAATTTGTCATGTTAGTTTCAATTGTTTTATTATTCTTCTCGATATTCGCCATTCTTTCCTCGATATCTGCCAAAGTTTTCGTTATTTCTCCGCACGAGTGACACTTCAACTTTCGGAATTCACAGACTTCACTTTCATGATGAATAAGATCACGCTTGTTGACAATTAAACCACAGCCTTGGTTTGTACAAACGGCTGGTGTATATCCACATGTATCTTCATGGCGGTCAAGATGCTGTAATTCTACAACTTCTTGACAACCTCTGTCGATGTAAACGCAGCGAATTTTTAACTCATTTATAACATCTTTTACCATTCTATTTGGTTCGGTCAAAGTCTCTACGGTCAGTTCATCAGCACACGTTGGACATGTTTGAGAATTTTCCAGATATTTCGTAATACAACAACGGCAAAAAGAATGCTGGTTTCTCGAACACATAAGCGGCTCTTTCAAGACGTTGAAGCAAATCTGGCAATGAAAATTTTGATTGATTTTGTCCACAAACCTTTCTTCATCGTAGCCTTGTATATATGAAACCATATTTCACGTCGTTCTTGTGTCGTAATAATAAAGCAAGTTCTGTGTTGTTTGTCGCTCTGTAGTATAAACCTCGCTGTATAGACTGAATATAGATACAGTGTTGGTTCTTGGAGAAGTCTGTGTTTGTATTTTGTGGAAATCTTCTTCAAAATGATCAGTTTATGAAGACAAATATCTCTTCCTTATAAAGTGTTTGCATAAAATGCATCATTTGCTGTCAGGAATTCTTGGAATTTGCTGCGGTGTTTCCACAAATAAATTTAAAAATATCGCGAGGTGAGAAAGAGAACTGGGACTGGACTATAACGCACTGAGCTATGTATGCTAAGTGAATGGGTCAAACTGCATGGTCCAGCATTATGAACCTAGATTTTTCCTAATCGTGTCAGATGATTTTACTCATCAGTGGAAGAATACTGTCAGTTAATAAGTTAACAAAACTATCTGTCAGTGTCTCTTGTTAACCCATTAGCCTTTAATGCACCCAGATGTGGCCTACTTTTGTATTTTACTCTGTCTAAGTGAAGATGATTTTACTCATCAGTGGAAGAATACTGTCAGTTAATAAGTTAACAAAACTATCTGTCAGTGTCTCTTGTTAACCCATTAGCTTGCAATACACCCAGATGTGACCTACTTTAGTATTTTACTCTGTCTAATGTCAGATGATTTTACTCATCAGTGGAAGAGTACTGTCAGTTAATAAGTTAACAAAACTATCTGTCAATGTCTCTTGTTAACCCATTAGCTTGCAAGACACCCAGATGTGACCTACTTTAGTATTTTACTCTGTCTAATGTCAGATGATTTTACTCATCAGTGGAAAAGTACTGTCAGTTAATAAGTCAACAAAACTATCTGACAGTGTCTCTAGTTAACCCATTAGCTTGCAATGCACCCAGATGTGACCTACTTTAGTATTTTACTCTTTCTAATGTCAGATGATTTTACTCATCAGTGGAAGAATACTGTCAGTTAATAAGTTAACAAAACTATCTGTCAGTGTCTCTTGTTAACCCATTAGCTTGCAATGCACCCAGATGTGACCTACTTTAGTATTTTACTCTGTCTAAGTCAAGTTGAATATTTTCGCGGTGCAATAATATTCCAATCTAAATGAGTTTTTATCAACACACAAATGGTTCAGGATATCTTTTGGATTGACCTACAGCTTTGGTGAATAAGAAAAACGCATCTTCAAAGTGTTTATGAAATTCAATTTCGTTTTGATCACAAAAGATCGTATAGCGTATCAAAATATTCAGAAATATTAAGTGTTGTGTTTTTTAAACATCCTGTATAAGTGCGGTCATTATATCGATGAAAAGCTATTTCAAGCTGGAAGATTAAATTTTAGCAGATCAAAGATGTTTGGAGTTTTTAAGATCGTTGTTATATTCCTAGTCTTTGCAGGTACTGGAATACATATTGTGATATATATCTTTGTTCATAGAATTCTCAAGTATCACTTCGTTATTCTTCATCGTATTTTTTTGTATTTATTTTTCTAGATAATGCGGTTGAATGTTTTAAACTTGCTCAGCTTTGCAGCTCAAATGGTAGAAATTCAATCCGTGAATGTGACTGTCAGGGTTGTGGTGATTTCGGAACACCAAGGTAAGACCAGATGTAACCTTGTAACAACACAGCGAATCGATAATATTCTTATAATCTTACAAAACAATTAAATTAACGTGAATTTATCATTATACAGAGGTTCTCGTACACACAATGGCGTCGACATAATTTGCAAACCAGGGAATTCTGTCTTGACACCATTTGCTGCGAAGATCTGACGAAAATCACGTTCTTATTCAAACAACAACAAACCATATAACAATGGATTGTATATTCAAGGAAGCGGAGAAGCCGAAGGTATCATCTCTCTCACATTAACAACCAAATTCATATTAGGCACGGGAAATTCATCTTAGACAGGAAAGTTGATTGTAAAAACCCGTCTTAATATGACTTGGAATGGATATAAAATTTACACGTGTGATGGGTCGGGTATTGCTAAAAAGGGTATCGTGATTATTACGATAATAATTTTGTTTATTTTCTCATTTAAGCGCGCCTCACACGAGAGCTGGTAGCTGAGGTAAAGACCTCGCGAGGCTGTTAGCTCAGCAAGTTACTCTCGTGTGCGGATAGTTTTTCGTGAAGAATTCGCCTCGAGAGGCAAGTTTCTATCGTGTTCGGATAGTTTTGAGGCTGAGTTAACTTCCTCGCGAGGTCGTTAGTTCAGCTTATAGCTCTCTTGTGCGGCGGGCTTTACCCTTGTTCCGTCCTTGACCGTGTTGATATTTCAGAAACTCGTCTGATTTATCGGTCAAAATTCGAATTTAAGACGAGTTTCTCGTCAGAAGGGATTCCCGTTCAAATTAACCGTTTGTTTAGACGGGAAAGTTAGGCGGGAAAATTCTGACGAGAAACCCGTCTGTGGCCTGATTCACGTCAGACGAGTTTCCCGTCTAAGATGAGTTTCCAAGAGGAGTTTCCCCTGTTAGACGTGTTTCCTTTTCCTTGACCTTGTAAGACGAGTTTCCCGCCTCTAATATGAATTCGGCTAAACTAAATTTTAAACTATAATGTATCTCTCGAAACAGAATGAGTAATGAATTTGGTCATTGACTCCTTTCAGCCCCCCGGGTTAGGTCTAAATGGTAATTTCATGTCGTGCTTTCAAGTAAAGATAAAAATACAATAAAAATAAAAGAAAGTGTAGGCACAGAATACCTATCAGAAGAACAACTCCATAGTTTTTTGTATAAGTGGTTCCGTCACTCAGCAAGTACTGTAAATGGAGGCAATCACTCCCCTGCTAACAGCCTCATTTTAAATATAGGCAGGGGGGTGATTCCTCATAATAACGGTACTTGCTGAGTGACAAACCTTGGAAATTCTACCCCCCTGGTATACGCTGCATTTTTAAGACTTGCAGGGGGGTTATTCATAGAGGTCCAATAAAGAGGGAGAGTGTTAAAATTGAATAATCAATTTCTTTTTCAGATATAAAATGGATATTTCAGGTGGTCTTGGAAAATCTGCTGGAAAGGTATCCATGTTCACAATTTTCTTCTTCAACTATCGACAAATTATCATCAAATATTTCCATGCTGTGATATTGTGTTGGTTCTGGCATTCTTGAAAAGGTCTTCACAGTATAGGGAGGAACAAGCTGGACTGATCTGATCAAGTCAGATGAACCATTTCTTTTTTCACCTCCAGAGACTATCAATTGATCATTATACAGAACACTGCTGTGGTTCCACAACTTATCAGGTAGTTTAACAGGACAGTCACTCCAGTGTGTTGATAGATCAGGGTTTGGGTCAATATTCATTCTAATCATATCATCAACAATGCCAGACATGCCACAGCTGCCCCCAGCTATAGTCATATGACTGTTATAAATAAATGAAGTCGCTCCATAACGATTCTTTGGCATTGATTGTAATGGCGACCATGTTCTTTGACGCCAGTTAAACATCTCTACAGAGTTAGTTCTATAACCTCCAGCAACAATAATATTTTCCTTATCACCACTTGGTCTATTTTTTACTTTTCTTGTGTTTTCTTCTATCTTGCCCTCCATCGTGATAAGAACGTCCTTCATCTCATCAAAAGCTCTGACCAAAGCTGTTTTCAGTCCATCGACTTTGTTGTTAACCGCTTCGTGTTTTCCCTCCATATCTGCCGTGTTATTCTCGATATTATTCGCAACAGTGGCAACATTTTTCTCTAAATTTGTTATTTTAGTTTCAACTGTTTTATTTGTTACCATATTCTTCTCGATATTCGCCATTCTTTCCTTCATATTTGCCAAAGTTTTCGTTATTTCTCCGCACGAGTGACACTTCAACTTTCGGAATTCACAGACTTCACTTTCATGGTGAATAAGATCACGCTTGTTGACAATTAAACCACAGCCTTGGTTTGTACAAACGGCTGGTGTATATCCACATGTATCTTCATGGCGGTCAAGATGCTGTAATTCTACAACTTCTTGACAACCTCTGTCGATGTAAACGCAACGAATTTTTAACTCATTTATAAGATCTTTTACCATTCGCGGTGCTTCGGCCAAAGTCTCTACGGTCAGTTCATCAGCACACGTTGGACATGTTTGAGAATTTTCCAGATGTTTTGTAATACAACAACGGCAAAAACAATGTTGGTTTGTCGGGCACAGGACAGGCTCTTTCAAGACATTGGAGCAAATCTGACAAAGGAAATTTTTACTGACTTTGGTCTCGAAGCGTTCTTCATCGTAGCCTTGTATATATGAAGCCATATTTCACGTCGTTCTTGTGTCGTAATAATAAAGCAAGTTCTGTGTTGTTTGTCGCTCTGTAGTATAAACCTCGCTGTATAGACTTGAATATAGATACAGTGTTCGTTCTTGAAGAAGTCTGTGTTTGTATTTTCTCGAAATCTTCTCCAAAATGATCAGTTTATGAAGACAAATATCTCTTCCTTATAAAGTTTTTGCGTAAGACGCGTCCTTTCTGCTGCATGCCTGTATCACACATAGAGATTATAAATAACGTGGTTGCTAAGGAGGCATTGATCTACCCAATCAGCGCTTGGCTTAGCATCCGGGACTTGAATTTGCCCGCTATTATCGCCCTCCCATTTTTGACTGATGATTTTGAATTTTGATACCAATTTTTTTTTATTGGTTTGTCACTAAAAGTTACAGCAGTGACAGGAGACAATAACAGGACATAAGTCCCAATTTGTAATTGTCTCCTTATCTAAATATAGGTACACTAAAATACAACTTTTACAGACATATACAGAAATTTTACAAAGTTATTATTACTAAGTATTATGTAGTTATGGAGGAACGTAACTTTGCAGAGTATCTTTAGATTGAAGTATAAGCCTTGTTTTATATGCTATTTGCCTATTAGCAATCTTTCCGGTCGGCAGACATTCATAGTAATTGCGGGAACTTTGTCGTTTTTAAAATATTGCGGGAAACATTTTCGAAATGAAAGGCCATTTAGTATGTTAATAAACGATGTGAAATAAAATGAAGCAAATTATAAACAATCGGTTTTAGAATTTCAGAAAATGTTTGATTATTAAATTCAGAAAGAATTACCATTGCCAATCAAGAGAAGATTCAGTTGAAGTTTGAAATACAATGATCAGCTAAGATACCTGATACAATGGTATCCAAAACAAATATTTCGATAGCGATGTCTCAATGTCTCAATTTGTACGGTTGTATTTATTTATTGCATTGAAGCGAAGATAAATAAATCAATACATGAGCTGAAAGTCAAACTTAAATAATTCTTTGCTGCCAGAAACTGTTCGTAAAATCTTTCAAAAGTGTTTAATTCATAAAGAATTATACGTGTTTACGTGTTTTCGTTTTCGCTCCTTATCCATCCATTTTGAATCGAAGTTAATCCAGGATTAAAAAGTTACAGATTAAAAACCACCTAGCTAGCAGGGTTAATTTTTTTATTAATTTTAACCCAGAGTTAAAGCTAACCGGGTTTTTTGCAACGCAAATCAACCGAGGTTTAAAGTTCAACCCTGGATTAGGCACTTTTAACCCTGGGTTAGCGTTAAACGGCTTTTGAACAACCGGCCCCAGAGCTATATAGCATAAATAGCCCAAATGACCCTAATCAACTTTAGTTCACAATACCGCTTTATATCAAGTACCCCATGGTATTCAAATATGTCCGCGTTACGAAGTTACTGCGGGCGCTCTCAAAGAACGCTCGTGATGTGGCCAGACCAGTGCTAGTGAAATGAATATAACTCAGTGATTTAATTTGCAGTAATTAAAGTCGACTCAGAAAGCTATTACTTGTTCTACACACTTTCAAAAGTGCTGACGATGCTGCGATAGTTTTTAATATAAAACTCCATCTTCACTAAATCCTAAATACACGAATTTAATCTTTGGGATTATGTTAAGAATAGACCTTTTTCAAAATGACGTCAAACGCGGAAAGTGTGATGCTACACGAAGTTTGATTTGCTCGATAGTTTTGTGGAGCCAATCAAATTTCGTGTAACATCAGACTTTCCACGTTTGACGTCATTATTTGGGTTAAGATTATGTTTTCGGTTTATAGTTTAATAGGGTTAAAATTAATTCTAAATTTGACCCTAATCCTAACCTAATCTGAAGGATTAAATGGAATTATATATATTCCCAACATAGAAAACGCTAAACATTCTTCGTTATTCTTCATCGTATTTTTCTGGATTTATTTTTCTAGATAATGCGGTTGAATGTTTTAAACTTGGTCAGCTTTGCAGCTTAAATGGTAGAAATTTAATCCGTGAATGTGACAGTCAGGGTTGTGGTGATTTCGGAACACCAAGGTAAGACCAGATGTAACGTTGTAGCAACACAGCGAATCAATAATATTCTTATAATCTTACAAAACAATTAAATTAACGGGAATTTATCATTATACAGAGGTTCTCGTACACACAATGGTGTCGACATAATTTGCAAACCAGAGAGTTCTGTCATGACACCATTTGCTGCGAAGATCTGACGAAAATCACGTTCTTATTCAAACAACAACAAACCATATAACAATGGATTGTATATTCAAGGAAGCGGAGAAGCCGAAGGTATCATCTCTCTTACATTAACAAACAAATTGATATTAGGCACGGGAGATTCATCTTAGACAGGAAAGTTGATTGTAAAAACCCGTCTTAATATGACTTGGAATGGATATAAAATTTACACGTGTGATGGGTCGGGTAATGCTAAAAAGGATATCGTGATTATTACGATAATAATTTTGTTTATTTTCTCAGTTAAGCGCGCCTCACACGAGAGCTGGTAGCTGAGGTGAAGACCTCGCGAGGCTGTTTGCTCAGCAAGTTACTCTCGTGTGCGGATAGTTTTTCGTGAGGAATTCGCCTCGAGAGGCAAGTTTCTATCGTGTGCGGATAGTTTTCAGGCTGAGTTAACTGCCTCGCGAGGTCGTTATCTCAGCTGATAGCTCTTTGTGCGGCGGGCTTTACCCTTGTTCCGTCCTTGACCGTGTTGATATTTCAGAAACTCGTCTGATTTATCCGTCTCAATGCGAATTTAAGACGAGTTTCTCGTCCAGAAGGGATTCCCGTTGAAATTAACCGTTTGTACAGGAAAGTTAGGCGGAAAAATTCTGACGAGAAACCCGTCTGTAACCTGATTCACATCAGACGAGTTTCCCGTCTAAGATGAGTTTCCAAGAGGAGTTTTCCCTGTAAGACTAGTTTCCTGTTTTCCTTGATCTTGTAAGACGAGTTTCCCGCCTCTAATATGAATTCGTCTAAACTAAATTTTAAACTATAATGCATTTCTCGAAACAGAATGAGTAATGAATTTTGTCATTGACTCCCGTCACTCCCCGGGTTAGGTCTAAATGGTAATTTCATGTCGTGCTTTCAAGTAAAGATACAAATACAATAAAAATAAAAGAAAGTGTAGGCACAGAATACCTATCAGAAGAACAACTTCATAGTTTTTTGCATAAGTGGTTCCGTCACTCAGCAAGTACTGTAAATGGAAGGAATCACCCCCTGCCAACAGCCCACTTTCAATATGGGCAGGGGGGTGATTGCTTCAATTACGGTACTTGCTGACTGATGAATCGTGGAAGGACTACCCCCTGCCAATGCCCCCATTTTAAATACTAGCAGGGGGGTGATTCATAGAGGTCGAGTAAAGAGGGAGTGTTAAAATTGAATAATCAATTTCTTTTTCAGATATAAAATGGATATTTCAGGTGGTCTTGGAAGATCTGCTGGAAAGGTATCCATATTCACAATTTTCTTCTCCATATTCGCAGATATTCGCTCCATAATCGTAAATTTTTTTCCCTGTGAAAAACCTTACTTTTTGTCCTGAAATGTTTCAGATATGGCGTGTTGGTCTGATGGGGTTGAACAGTACAAAAGATAATGTAAATCTTGTACTAAAAGCCTTCAAGGACGCGATGGAAAACGTGAAACTACAAAACAATCTGTGAGCAAACTTGAAACAAGAATTTTATTTTAGTTGACAAACCAATTTATATTACTTAATCAGGGTTTTGTTTTAATAAAGAGTAAAACTATCTCTCCAAATCTTGTTAATTGTTAAATTTTAAAATATGACTTGGTCTGTGGCAGTCTGACAGACACAGACATCATTTACAGACAGGCTGATATTTAAAATAGGTAACTGAGCTATTTCTTCAGGCAGAGGCTCAGTTAGGATTCTTGGTCTGGGGGACCAGGCAGAAGAACCCAGGTGGGGAGGGGTGGGGTTGTGGCTGAAAAACCTAGGTGAGAGAAGGGATGAGAAAATCTAGGTGGAGGGGGTGCAGAAAAGCTGATTTCAAATGTTTTGTTTGGTGTTTCATTTTAAACCTTCCTCAATGAAAATATCTATTTCAAAGATTTATTATTGTTCTAAGAACTGACTCAATTTAAATTTAATCACAAAAATACAAATCAGTATATGTCTGACAATCAACTTAGAATGCTACAATCTATTTCTATAACTTTGTGAAAATCTTATAGTTCATTTCAATTGTTCATAATATGTTAGGAGTTTTCATTTAATACCTTACATATTGTTCACACAACAACAGCAGTGTGCAGCATCTTGCTTAGACATTTCTGGAAGTTCTTCCCAAGAATACCTTTCAAAGTTGAAACTTCAACTGACTTCAGTTCCTCTCACCACCCCTCCCAGGACTACAATGTTGTATTCAATAACAACTGCAGTACATCCCCTCCTCTTACATCTCATTGATGGCAGCATGTGACTTTGTTCTGTCTTGACATTATAAATGATAACTGTGTCTAATGTCTTCCCATGCTTGTCAGCGCCACCAATAACAACAATGTTGTCTCCCCATCTCACAGTTTCCATAGCACTCACTTCATACGGCAGTGGTGACAACTGTTTCAGCTCATTCTTCTTTATATCGTAGAGTACGACACTGCTGAGGTTGTCTTTGTGTTACCAGTTGTTCTTCCACCAACTATCAACAAATTATCATCAAATATTTCCATGCTGTGATATTGTCTTGGTTCTGGCATTCTTGATAAGGTCTTCACAGTATAGGGAGGAACAAGCTGGATTGCTCTGATCAAGTCAGATGAGCTATTTTCATTACAACCTCCAGAGACTATCAACTGATCATTATACCGCACACTGCTGTGGAATTTCAACTTCTCAGGTAGTTTAACAGGACAGTCACTCCAGTGTATTGAGAGATCAGGGTTTGGGTCAATATTCATTCTAATCATATCATCAACAATGCCAGACAAACCACAAATACCCCCAGCTATAGTCATATGATTGCTATAAATAAATGAAGTCGCTCCCCAACGATCCTTTGGCATTGATTGTAATGGCGACCATGTTCTTTGACGCCAGTTAAACATCTCTACAGAGTTCATTCAAAAAACCTCCAGCAACAATTATATTTTCCTTATCACCACTTGGTCTATTTCTACTTTTCTTGTGTTTCTTCTTTCTTTCCCTCCACCGTGATAAGAACGTCCTTCATTTCATCAAAAGCTCTGACCAAAGCAGTTTTCAATCCATCGACTTTGTTGTTAACCGCTTCGAGTTTTCCTTCGATATCTGCTTTTATATCTGCGGTATTTTTGTCTATTTCCGTGCAACATTTCGCTCTAAATTTGTTATTTTAGTTTCAATTGTTATACATTCTTCCCTATGTTCTTCCATATTCGCCATTCTTTCCTCCATATCTGCCAAGTTTTCGTTATTTCTCCGCACGAGTGACACTTCAACTTTCGGAATTCACAGACTTCACTTTCATGGTGAATAAGATCACGCTTGTTGACAATTAAACCACAGCCTTGGTTTGTACAAACGGCTGGTGTATATCCACATGTATCTTCATGGCGGTCAAGATGCTGCATTCTACAACTTCTTGACAACCTCTGTCGATGTAAACGCAACGAATTTTTGATTCATTTAAAAAATCTTTTACCATTCGTGAAGGTTCGGCCAAAGTCTCTACGGTCAGTTTATCAGCACACGTTGGGCATGTTTGAGAATTTTCCAGATGTTTCGTAATACAACAACGGCAAAAAGAATGCTGGTTTCTCGAACACATAACCGGCTCTTTCAAGACGTTGAAGCAAATCTGACAATGAAAATTTTGATTTATTTTGTCCACAAACCTTTCTTCATCGTAGCCTTGTATATATGAAGCCATATTTCACGTCGTTCTTGTGTCGTAATAATAAAGCAAGTTCTGTGTTGTTTGTCGCTCTGTAGTATAAACCTTGCTGTATAGACTGAATATAGATACAATGTTCGTTCTTGGAGAAGTCGGTGTTTGTATTTTCTCGAAATCTTCTCCAAAATGATCAGTTTATGAAGACAAATATCTTTTCCTTATAAAGTATTTGCATAAGACGCGTCCTCTCCTGTCAGGACTCAGGAATTCCTGGAATTTGATGCGGTGTTTCCAAAAATGAATTTGAAAATGTTACGAGCTGACGGAGAGAGCTGGAGCCAAATGAAACCTTTTTCTGATATTTTCAGTAGATTTTAGAGAAATGTTATTTTGCAGTAATTTAAGTCGTCTCTAAAAGCTTTAACTTGTTCTATTAAAATGCGAATTTACCTTTCAAAAGTGCTGACGATGCTGCGATAGTTTTTAATATAAAACTCCATGTTCACTAAATCCTAAATACACGAATTTAATCTTTGGGATTATCTTAGGAATTGGGTTAAGATTATGTTTTAGGTTTATAGTTTAATAGGGTGAGACTCATTCCTAATTTTAACCCTAATCCTAACCTAATCTTAAGGATTAAATGGAATTATACTGCCAACATAGAAAATGCTAAACATCCAGTGTATCGAAAGATCAGAAAATTTCAGGGAGTGAAATTTCAAGGCAATTAAAGAGGAAGTTTGTTTTGGCAGTTAATGAGTTAAAAAAACTATCCGTCAGACTAATTTATTATTTGTTATTTGAGATTATGTTACGATTTGGGTTAAGATTAGGTCTTAGGTTTATTGTTAAATAGGCTTAAACATAATCCTAAATTTAACCCTAATCCTAACCTAATCTCTGGAATTATATTGATTGCCAACATAGAAAACGCTAAACATTCCAGTGTATCGAGAGATCAGAAAACTGCCAGGGAGTGAAATTTCAAGGAAAAAAAAGGAAGTTTGTTTTGGTAAGTGGAAGCAACCGTCGTTTTAAACTTTCAATTTTCAAACATTTCTTTTCCAAACTTTCGTTTTGAAGCAAAATATTTTGAATTATTTTCTCTCAATTGCAAGGAAATACACGAGCTTTTCTAGCGAAATATGTCGCACGACGTGACCGTAAACTTCAACGGCAAATCATTTAACCTTCGTTTTCAACCATCCTGGACAATCGCTCAACTAAAACACGAAATTGCTCGCAAGAAAAATGTCAAAACTGCTGGAATTAAAATCATTTTTGCCGGTCGAGAATTACCCGATGAATTAACACTCGGGGTGAGTGATTTTTAGGAAAATATCAAGCTTTTAATGTGATTTATATAACAATTTTCAAAGAAATAACGAAAGCTTTACTGTGAAATGTTTCAATGATTTCATAAATGAGTTTTTTTTTAGTTCGGGATTTTGATGTTTAAAGCGACCATCTTCGTTATAGTAAATCTGAGATAGATTATGATACAGCTTGTCTTGCTTGAGTCAGTCCATCTCAGAATATCACAGTGTCTGAATCTTGATAAAATGATATTTTAAGACATTTTTCAAAGCCATCTTTCTCCACTAAAACCTGACCCAAACTTATGTGAATTCTCACTCATATACAGTTTCCAGGATTTTTCAGATGATTCTCAGAATTCTCAGTCTTTGAATTGCCATCAGTCAACAATGAGTCTGAAATTCAGAGATCTGAAACTTTTTTTATAGAATGCAGAGATGAACCACAGCGTCATTCATGCTGTTCAGAAATCTGGTCAGATCTCAGTTGATGCAACTTACAATGCGAATGATGGTTTGACGAAAGTGAAACTGACACAGGATGACGAAGATGGAGATGGTGAATCTCAACAATCAGGTGGTGATGAGATCTTTCATAAACCTCTCAATGGTGTGACCACTCTCTTTTTAGTGTTCTTCCTGGTTTAATATACACCCTCAATAAATACCTCCAATATGTTCCCTCTATGTTCACCCTTGTTCCTCTCGACCTCACTGATAAACCTCTCTCTAGTTTATCCACTATAATAACCTCTTTTTCATGTCTGTTCCTTGTATTGTATCCCTGTCTAATACACCTCTTTTCCAATAACCCTTTCTCTAGTTTGTCCTCTATAAAATATCCTTCTCAATAGCCATCTCTAATTAACCCTCAAATTACTTTCTATTCCCCTCTGTCCCAATGCCCTTTCTTAATGTACAAGTTTCTTCTCTAATGTTCCTCTCTAATTAACCCTCAAATCTTTATCTATTCTCTTCCCTAATAGTATGCCCCTCCCTAATGTACCTCTTAGAACTCTTATTTCCCTCTCTAATTAACCCTCTATAGCCAATCCCCTGTGGTACCCTTCCCTACTAGCATGCCCCTTTCTAATATGCCTCTTCTCTAAAAACCCTTTTCCCAATCAACCCACCCTACCCTTGCCCATACCCCCTTACCTGGATGTCCTCTAATACAGTACTGTACCACTTCTCTAATTGTCTATTTCCAATAAACTCCTATCCCCAGCTTGATACCCTTGCATTTTCCTCATGGAGAAACCCTGGGTAGGGGGTTCTCTACCCTGCCTTTTCCCCTAATCATATTATACTTCATCCATGAAGCCCCACCCTCTCTCCCTAATAAACCACTCTCTCTCTAATAGCCCCCTCCCTCTCTCAAATAAGCCCCTCTCTCTCTAATAAGCCCCTCTCTCTCTAATATTAGGCCTCTCTCTTTCTAATAAGCTCATCTCTCTAACACCAGGGCTCCTTTAATAATCCAAACTTTTTGTACTCTTTCATCTCAGGCAAGCAAAGTTTCTTCTTTGTTTATTGTAAAACTTGCAAGAAACTAACACAAGGAAAATTGCGATGTCGATGTTCAAATTGCAAGGAAGGAAGCTTTGTTCTATCACAGGTATTTACTGTTTCCTTATAAACAACTTGTAAAAAACCGTAGCAGATTTATGTATAACTTTGTAAAATGTTGACATTGTTACAACTTGTTTACAAGCTTGCTGTGAAAGCTTTTGAATGTCAACAAACATCTTATTTACACAATATTTATGGTTTCTTGCAAGGGTCCAAATGGTTGGGACGATGTATTGATCAAAGGCCGCATGCAGGGACAATGTGAATCCAATACAAACTGTCAGGGAAAAACAGCTGTAAGTTATCCACCTATCAGACCTAAAATACAATAGTGGGTCACATCTAGGTGCATTGCAAGCTAATGGGTTAACAAGAGACACTGACAGATATTAGTTTGTTAACTTATTAACTGACAGTACTCTTCCACTGATGAGTAAAATTATCTGACATTATACAGGGTAAAATACTAAAGTAGGTCGATCACAAACTTCTTGTTCTTTCATAGGAATTTTATTTCAAATGTGGGGAACATCATGGTAGAGATGAACAGGCGCCATTATCAATGTTGAAATCTAACATCAGAAATATTCCCTGCATCACATGCTCTGAAACATCGTAAGTTTACCCTTCTTATTTATGTCTCCTCTCAGAAATATTTATCCTTCTGGGAAAGTTGAATTTTTTAATCCAAACCGCAGTTAATAGAAACTAATAACTGTGATCCAACATGGTCAATATTTAATCAAATTTTTTTCACTCATTTTAAACCTTCCTCAATGAAAATATCTATTTTAAGGATTTGTTATTGTTCTTTAATATGTAATTCCAGGAACTGACTCAATTTAAATTCAGTCAAAAAAATACAAATCAGTATATGTCTGACAATCAACTTAGAATTCTAAAATCTATTTCTAGAACTTTATGAAAATCAATTGTTCATAATACGTTAGGAGTTTTCACTTAATGTTCACACAACAGCAGCAGTGTGTATCCATCTTGCTTCAGACATTTCTGGAAGTTGTTCCCAAGAATACCTTTCAAAGTTGAAACCTTCAACTGACTTTACCTCTCGTCGCTCACCACACCCTCCCAGGACTACAATGTTGTTTTCAATAACAACTGCAGTACATCCCCACCTCTTACATCTCATTGATGGCAGCATGTGACTTTGTTCTGTCTTGACATTGTAAATGATAACTGTATCTAATGGCTTGCAATGTTTGTTAACACCACCAATAACAACAATGTTGTCTCCCCATTTTACAGTTGCCATATCACTCACTTCATACGGCAGTGGTGACAACTGTTTCAGCTCATTCTTCTTTATATCGTACAGTACGACACTGCTGAGGTTGTTTTTGCATCCGTCAGTTGAACTTCCACCAACTATCATCAAGTTATCATCAAATATTTCCATGCTGTGATCTTGTCTTGGTTCTGGCATTCTTGATAAGGTCTTCACAGTATAGGGAGGAACAAGCTGGACTGATCTGATCAAGTCAGAAGAACCATTTCCATTATTACCTCCAGAGACCATCAACTGATCATTATACAGAACACTACTGTTGCATTTCAACTTATCAGGCAGTTTAACAGGACAGTCACTCCAGTGTGTTGAGAGATCAGGGTTTTGGTCAATATTCATTCTAATCATATCATCAACAATTCCAGACATGCCACAGCTGCCCCCAGCTATAGTCATATGATTGTTATAAATAAATGAAGTCGCTCCACAACGTACCTTTGGCATTGATTGTAATGGCGACCATGTTTTTTGACGCCAGTTAAACATCTCTACAGAGTTACTTCGCCAGCCTCCAGCAACAATTATATTTTCCTTATCACCACTTGGTCTATTTCTTACTTTTCTTGTGTTTTCTTCTATCTTGCCCTCCATCGTGATAAGAACGTCCTTCATTTCATCAAAAGCTCTGACCAAAGCTGTTTTCAATCCGTTGACTTCGTTGTTAACCGCTTCGTGTTTTCCCTCCATATCTGCTTTTAAATCTGCAATATTTTTCTCAATTTTTCTGTCTAAATTTGTTATTTTAGTTTCAATTGTTACATTATTCTTCGCCATTCTTTCCTCCATATCTGCCAATGTTTTCGTGATTTCTCCGCACGAGTGACACTTCAACTTTCGGGTTTGACAAATTTCACTTTCATGATGAATAAGATCACGCTTGTTGACAATTAAACCACAGCCTTGGTTTGTACAAACGGCTGGTGTATATCCACATGTATCTTCATGACGGTCAAGATGCTGTAATTGTACAACTTCTTGACAACCTCTGTCGATGTAAACGCAACGAATTTTTGATTCATTCAAAAAATCTTTTACCATTCTTTGTGGTTCGGCCAAAGTCTCTACGGTCAGTTCATCAGCACACGTTGGGCATGTTTGACAATTTTCCAGATGTTTCGTAATACAACAACGGCAAAAAGAATGCTGGTTTCTCGAACACATAACCGGCTCTTTCAAAACGTTGAAGCAAATCTGACAATGAAAATTTCGATCGATTTTGTTCACAAACCTTTCTTCATCGTAGCCTTGTATATATGAAGCCATATTTCACGTCGTTCTTGTGTCGTAATAATAAAGCAAATTCTGTGTTGTTTGTCGCTCTGTAGTATAAACCTCGCTGTATAGACTGAATATAGATAGCTACAGTGTTCGTTCTTGGAGATGTCTGTGTTTGTATTTTCTCAAATCGCTAGAGCAAAATTATCTGTTTAGAACAGCAGAGAAATATCTCTTCCGTAAGTGTTTAAAGAGTGTTTTGTTGACAGGAATTTGTGGTATAAAAAATTATATTATTATTATTGTCTCCTGACAAAAGCTCAGCATCTCCTATTCAAATACTGACTTGCAATTGGTTATGTTTATGTTGCTAGGGATTTCTTATTTCGTTATATGGAAATGAGTTCGAAGAAAATGATACTTTATACCAAGAAAAATCAATCATAACAAATAGTTTATAGCCTATATATATTTGGCTGAGCATATGGCTACAGTACACGCTCACGCTGTGGATTTCAAGTATAAAGTATAAGTATAAAGTGTAAAGTGTTTGCATAAATGATATGCTTTGCTCACAGAGGAATTCCTGGAATTTGTGTGTTTCCACATTCCGGAATTGCCCCAACACGCGCAAATAGCTCAGTGGTTGCAAGCACTGGTGCCTAATTTTAACAAATTGGAGGCTAAAAAAGCTAATTTCTCAGTACTTTTTATTAGCCAAGATTTTCAAAATAACAGCACTTTAAACAGAACTATAATGGTTAGAAACAACATACTAACACCGAAAATATATAAAGTCAAAATATTCAATAGGTTTTAACAAAAACCCCAGCTATATTATTGGTCCTTTGCAGAACATCTATAACAATAACAGTTGTGATGTTGCATTACAAAACTATAACAAAAGTTTGTGGTGAGGTCCCATCATGAAATAACAGTTAAATTTTTAGACAACAAAGCTTGGTTTAAACATTGATGTAGCAGGATTGTATCTTTATATTAAACTGAGTATAGCCATAGGCCATAGCCACAGCCCACAGTTGTCAACCCGCGTGTACTGTTTCTAAATATTAAATTTTCCCTGTTGAGATAGCGTCTTCATCAGGGGAAACAATATCCTGTTCACTTTTAAAGTACTTTTGCGTTTGGGACCAGAGATAATGCACTGGAGCATCGTCGTCAAATATCACGTCTACATCATCTTTGTTTAAATTCTCGTACACGCGACAACAACATTGATTTTTGGAGCGTCTCGGATAACTACAGTCTGTGAATTTACAACCACGGTTGTCCTCGCACAATCCAATCGCTCGAATAGCTTTTGTTATTGGATATTTAACTCGTCTCTTGACTCTGACGACAATCTGAACGCATAAGGGTTTGCCATTACCGTTTGTATCGCTTGCTTCTGCCCGAGATATACTTTGTATCGATATAAAACTACAGTCCTTTTGCAATTCGATGCCAAGCGCCCGTTTATTTTGAACTATTGCCCTGGCTGAACCAGCACATTGCGTGCGAATTTTCTGAATTTGTCCAGACGAACCGCAATGGTTTAAAGTTTTCACCAATTGCCATCGTTTTAAAGATTTTCCAGTGTAATATAAAGGATCCATTTGAGACAAAAGACTTCTCTTTTAAAGTTCTACAACCGAATTGTTGTTTATTTCGTCCGCTCAAAGTGATTTGAAAGCCACATGAAATGTGACAAGTAAATTGATACTTTGTAACTTTCAACGGGGGGGGGGACGAATACGTGAAAATTAGCTCTTACAAAATGATATTTTAATACTAATTAAAATGATTTTAAAACCGTTTGATAGTCATACGTCGAGGAGAAATGTTATTAAATTGATTTATTTAATAAAATTCATTCATTTATTCCCTGTAATATGCAATTTTTTGGCTTACTTTTAACCACCCTCGCTCCAGTGTTCGTATAGAGATCGGTGTGCAGTTTAGAGGCGGGAAACTTTCCCGCCGAAATCGAAAACACGTTCCCGCCAAATAACCTTGCTGCTTTCCGAGCCTCTCATTGGTTAAACACCCCAATTCCTGCTCTCTGATTGGTCAAAAGCGAGCACAAGATATTTCGGTTCTTCACGTTTCTTCAAACTCCTCAAAACTTGATTTTTTACTTTATATTTATTATTTACAATTTCTCGCGGTTAATGCTTCGTTTTTCTTCTTTTAAAGGGATGTTATTTTAGTTTTTCCTTGTGAAAGCAAGCATACGATTTGTGCGGATTGTTTTCGCGAGTATTGCGTTACATATTTGAGCGAGAGACGATTTGTCCAAACAGAACGGAAAGGATACACTATTGCCTGCCCAGGAAATTCAGGTAAAAACAACAAGAATAGTCTTTAGTATTATACCAGCAATATAGTATGTTAATTTTATTGCATTAGCAAACGAGAACAAGAGTTGCATGAGAGTTGACAAGCGAGAGTTTGTTTACATGAGAGTTTCATCAACTAACATTGCTTGATCAAACGAGAACAAGAGTTGCATGAGAGTTGACAAGCGAGAGTTTACATAAGAGTTTCATCAACTATCATTGCTTGATCAAACGAGAACAAGAGTTGCATGACAGTTGACAAGCGAGAGTTTACATAAGAGTTTCATCAACTATCATTGCTTGATCAAACGAGAACAAAAGTTGCATGAGAGTTGACATGCGAGAGTTTACATGAGAGTTTTATCAACTATCATTGCTTGATCAAACGAGAACAAGAGTTGCATGAGAGTTGACAAACGAGAGTTTACATGAGAGTTTCATCAATTATCATTGCTTGATCAAATGAGAACAAGAGTTGCATGAGAGTTGACAAGCGAGAGTTGACAAGCGAGAGTTTACATGAGAGTTTCATCAACTATCATTGCTTGATCAAACGAGAACAAGAGTTGCATGAGAGTTAACAAGCGAAAGTTTACATGAGAGTTTCATCAACTATCATTGCTTGATCAAACGAGAACAAGAGTTGCATGAGAGTTGACATGCGAGAGTTTACATGAGAGTTTCATGAACTATCATGCTTGATCAAACGAGAAATAAGAGTTGCATGAGAACAAGCGAGAGTTTACATGAGAGTTTCATGAACTATCATTGCTTGATCAAACGAGAACAAGAGTTGCATGAGAGTTGACAAGCGAGAGTTGACAAGCGAGAGTTTACATGAGAGTTTCATCAACTATCATGCTTGATCAAACGAGAACAAGAGTTGCATGAGAATAACAAGCGAGAGTTACATGAGAGTTTCATCAACTATCATTGCTTGATCAAACGAGAACAAGAGTTGCATGAGAGTTGACATGCGAGAGTTTACATGAGAGTTTCATCAACTATCATTGCTTGATCAAACGAGAACAAGAGTTGCATGGGAGTTGACAAGCGAGAGTTTACATGAGAGTTTCATCAACTATCATTGCGATCAAACGAGAACAAGAGTTGCATGAGAGTTGACAAGCGAGAGTTTACATGAGAGTCATCAACTATCAGCTTCATCAAACGAGAACAAGATTGCATGAGAGTTGACAAGCGAGAGTTTACATGAGAGTTCATCAACTATCATTGCTGATCAAACGAGAACAAGAGTTACATGAGAGTTGACAAGCGAGAGTTTACATGAGTTTCATCAACTATCATTGCTTGATCAAACGAGAACAAGAGTTACATGAGAGTTGACAAGCGAGAGTTTACATGAGAGTTTCATCAACTATCATTGCTTCATCAAACGAGAACAAGAGTTACATGAGAGTTGACAAGCGAGAGCTTACATGAGAGTTTCATCAACTATCATTGCTTCATCAAACGAGAACAAGAGTTGAACCTAGACTGATTATAAAATACCTATTTTTTTAGATGATTGTCCCGGCCTTATCAGTACCCACCACTTCCGGTTGCTTGGCGAAGCAGGTACAAATGCTTTTCAAATTTAGATATTTTGGTACAAAATAGTTAGTCAAAGTATCCATTCCTCCTCAATCCCACTGCTCTATAAGACTGAACTGACACACTCCTTTCACTATTTTCTAGTATCACGTTCCAGACATTTGCTACCGAGGAATGTGTCCTTTTAGCCGGTGGGGTACTATGCCAGGTCGGGATGTGGACAGGGTATATTTCCCCCACCAGGCGACGTCGAGTAACGTGTGAACATGGTGTGGGGTAAGTGTAAATGTATACTATCTTTGTTATTTATACTGGATAGCTCTATCAGTTCTAAACTGTTCTTCCTAAGAGGCCAGTAAGGATCATCTCTTATTGATCCAGTGTTACTACAGGAGGAAAGCTAAACTAATATAACTTATTTATACTGGATAGCTATCAGTTCTAACTGTTCTCCTAGAGGTCCAGTAAGGATCATCTCTCATTGATCCAGTGTTACTAAGAGGAAACCTAAACTAAACTAACTTTATTATACTGGATAGCTCTATCAGTTGTCTTAAACGGTCTCCAGTAAGGATCATCTCTTATTGATCCAGTGTACTACAGAGGAAACCTAAGCTAAACTAACTTTATACTGGATAGCTCTATCAGTTCTAAACTGTTCTTCCTAGAGGTCCAGTAAGGATCATCTCTTATTGATCCAGTGTTACTACAGGAGGAAACCTAAGCTAAACTAACTTTATTTATACTGGATAGCTCTATCAGTTCTAAACTGTTCTTCCTAGAGGTCCAGTAAGGATCATCTCTTATTGATCAAGTGTTACTAAAGGAGGAAATCTAAACTAAACTAACTTTATTTATATTGGATAGCTCTATCAGTTCTAAACTGTTCTTCCTAGAAGTCCATTATTATCTTTTTCACATTTTAGCTTGTGTTTTGTCGAAATTGTTCACGGCCCTACCATGACGGAGAATGTCAATCAAGTGAGGCTGCTGCTGGAGCATCTGCTTCTGGAAACACAGCAGCAAACGTAAGTCTTGTATTCAATTTGCGCGTGACCTTGAATCTCATCCTTTGGTGTCTGGAGTAACCAAGTGGCGATAAAATTATAATATTATGTTTTTTTGTTTTTCTGTTTTAGAGGTTTCAGGTCACTGAAGCGAATAATCAACGAGCAAGATGGAACGAACAATCTGAAGCCCATATAGAAAAGAACACTAAAAGATGTCCCAATACCAAGTGCAATGTTCCAGTCGAGAAGAACGGTCAGTTAAAATTAAGATGTTTAAAACTGATAGAGCCAGTTAGTTCAGGTTTCTTGCTGTACTACACTAGATCAATAAGAGATGATCCTTACTGGACCTCTAGGAAGAACAGTTTAGAATTGATGGAGCTATCCAGTATAAATAAAGTTAGTTTAGTTTAGGTTTCCTCCTGTAGTAACACTGGATCAATAAGAGATTATCCTTACTGGACCTGTATAGAAAGAACATTTCCCATGCAATTTTTAATTTGATTTATTTCAATATTTCTTCAGCGGGTTGCAATCATATGACATGTTCAAGATGTGGATTTCACTGGTGCTGGATTTGTCGTGTTCCTTGGGACAGGAAATGTCAGAGAAACCATTGGTTCAATCATTGAGACTTAAGGTTAGATTCGCACTTTCACAGCAACTTCATAACTTTGAAATCCGAATGAAAATAATCGCAGGACCATTGCATAATTTGTTTTAATGTAATCCAGAGCTTACGGCTACGAAATCTGGTACCACTACGAGATTTTCTTAGTCGATTTTCCGACGGTTTCAGCCTTTTTAGATTCCGTTTTGGAAGCGGATATTCATTTAAAATATATCTTGTAAAGTCGTACAAGATTTCGTGGACGTTGCGAAGCTAAAAGTTCCCTGATAACTAGCTTGGTCCAATTCACTTCTGAGGTATGGAATGTAGTCTGTTTTCAGTCTGGTGTTTGATAAAACAGTACTGCAATGGCTTCAGTGCATTTGCTGCTCGCAACATTACAAGACAACACACTATAAAACATCCACCAGAAGTGAATAGACACTTCCCGAATTTGCTCGAGTGCATGCAAAACAATAGCTTGGAGACGAGACGGGCGATGTAATCTATTGTTTCTGGGACGGTTTTCATTCCCGGGAATAAATTCGGGACTGAGTGTCTATTAGATCGAACAAAATTGGATCGTGTTAACAGATCTTGAGAATTAAGAATAAACATCACAAGACAACAGACTGTAAAACATCGATCAGAAGTAAATTGGATCCAACAAAATTGGATCGTATGAAAAATGAACAGACCTTTAGTTGATAACTAACTGCACATGTAAACACAATTTGTGTCAATTATTTAAATTTCTTCAACGAGATTTCACGTAAGTGTTAACGCACTCTAAATTCACGCATAATAATAATTAGTAATAAATTTCTTCTTCATAATTTTAAGCAAACAAGAAGACAACAAAACTGTTAACTTTTGTTTTTTATTCATTTTTCTGCGAATGCAACATTGAACTGTCTCAGTGTACTTAAAACATAGAGCTACTACGATATCATTATACGACCAAGTATTTCAGCCACAAATGTACTAAACTTTTCAACAGAAAGTCAACTAAATCCCTTTGAAATAACCTCGCAACTATAATGTCCATCATTCTGTTCACGCGAGCTCGATAGCAAAGGCCTAGATCCAAGTTATTTGAGAGAAACTCTTGTTCTCGTCTGTTCAAGCAATGATAGTTGATGAAACTCTCATGTAAACTCTCGCTTGTCAACTCTCATGCAACTCTTGTTCTCGTTTGATCAAGCAATGATACTTGATGAAACTCTCATGTAAACTCTCGCTTGTCAACTCTCATGCAACTCTTGTTCTCGTTTGATCAAGCAATGATAGTTGATGAAACTCTCATGTAAACTCTCGCTTGTCAACTCTCATGCAACTCTTGTTCTCGTTTGATCAAGCAATGATAGTTGATGAAACTCTCATGTAAACTCTCGCTTGTCAACTCTCATGCAACTCTTGTTCTCGTTTGATCAAGCAATGATAGTTGATGAAACTCTCATGTAAACTCTCGCTTGTCAACTCTCATGCAACTCTTGTTCTCGTTTGATCAAGCAATGATAGTTGATGAAACTCTCATGTAAACTCTCGCTTGTCAACTCTCATGCAACTCTTGTTCTCGTTTGATCAAGCAATGATAGTTGATGAAACTCTCATGTAAACTCTCGCTTGTCAACTCTCATGCAAGTCTTGTTCTCGTTTGATCAAGCAATGATAGTTCATGAAACTCTCAAATAATTTTATTTTCACTCAAAGAAACTTACATCAAGGTCTTAGGTCCTTGCTACTGCGCTCGCGTGAACAGCCCCGAACCTGGATCTACAATAAACCATTCTTCGCCTTGGGGATGAACACAGAACCATTAGTAACGTCCTCGTGGTCGGCCAAAGGCGGTGGGGGTGGTGAGTGGTGGCTACCATACACCTGCCCCGCGTCCCCGTTTGCACTGAGGGGCATCACGGCCATCACCTCAGCAATCCTCGCTTTCAAATTCACTATCTCTTGTTCCTTGCTGATCAACTGGCCTTGCGATATCTCAAGTCGTCGACGCGTCTCTCCCAAGGCTGAAAACAGATCCAACTTCAGGCGTGTCTCGGAACTCAAGCTGTTCTCCAAATGCGTATTCTTGCCACGAATCTGGGCCAAGGTCGACATCAACGCCTCCGTCTCCTTTTTCAACTGGATGTTATCGTTTCCATTCGTTTTCGTTTTGAGCGTTTCAATCTCCCTCTCCATGGCCCTGATTTTCTCGTCTTTCTCGTGAGCACGCGCTTCGAGCTCCACTCTGCGCGCGTTGCAATGTTCGTGGATCGCGTTCTCCTCGCGCGACTGACGGAATTCGTCGGCTTTCGCTTTCTTCCGTTCTTCACGAAGCTGGGAGTCCGTCAACTGTCGGGCGTCGCGTTCCGATTTCAGTTTCCGTTCCAAGGTTGCGATGCTGTTGCGATCTTGCTGACGGCTAGCGGTTAACGTTTGAATCCTGGAGTAAAGATAAAGAAAGTTTTTATCGTATTGCAAAACTAAGTGGGTAATCTTCGCGAATATGGCTAGGAAACAATGTTTCCTGGTTTGTGTCAGTGGTTTGTGTACCTTCATGAAATATGTCTAGGAGACAATGTCTCCTGGTTTGTGTCAGTGGTTTGTGTACCTTCATGAAATATGTCTAGGAGACAATGTCTCCTGGTTTGTGTCAGTGGTTTGTGTACCTTCATGAAATATGTCTAGGAAACAATGTTTCCTGGTTTGTGTCAGTGGTTTGTGTACCTTCATGAAATATGTCTAGGAAACATGTCTCCTGGTTTGTCTACCTTCATGAAACATGGCTAGGAAACAATGTCTCCTGGTTTGTCTACTTTCAAGAAACATGACTAGGAAATAATGTCTCCTGGTTTGTCCACCTTCATGAAACATGGCTAGGAAACAATGTTTCCTGGTTTGTCTACCTTCATGAAACATGACTAGGAAACAATGTGTTCATTTCAGAAAGGTTTTTGTATGTACATACTTTTGTTGATATATTTCATTATCATTCTTCAACTGATTCACTTCAAATTTCAGGGATTTCTCATTCGAAGTAACAGTCTGCAACTGCGTTCTCATATCTTGTTCACTATGACGACTGCTTTGCAAGTCTTGTCTCGCCCGTTTCAAATCACTTTCCATCTGGTTCAATGTGCTCTCTACCCGCCGTCTAGACAGTGGAAGAATGGAATAATTTAACAGATAAAGGTATCCAGTTTAAATAGTTTAGTTTAGGTTTCCTCCTGTAGTAACACTGGATCAATAAGAGATGATCCTTACTGGACCTCTAGGAAGAACAGTTTAGAACTGATAGAGCTATCCAGTATAAATAAAGTTAGTTTAGTTTAGGTTTCCTCCTGTAGTAACACTGGATCAATAAGAGATGATCCTTACTGGACCTCTAGGAAGAACAGTTTACAACTGATAGAGCTATCCAGTATAAATAAAGTAAGTTTAGTTTAGGTTTCCTCATGTAGTAACACTGGATCAATAACAGATGATTCTTACTGGACCACTAGAGACAATACCTAGCACTCTTTTCCTCCTTCAGCTGTGTCAGTAACAAAGGTTTCACATCTCCAACCACAGAAAGATATTTCGTTTCCTGAGAAATTGTTTGAATTTTAGCTTCTGTAATTATGTTCAATTTTGTTAATTTTTATACCAAATATTTTGCCCAAATCCTAGAACATTTCCATGTTTATATAGCCAATGCTGCGTATCTTAATACAAAAGATTAACAAATATACCTGTGTTGTTTTCGTTTGATTATCCTTCTTACTAGAACCATGACCGCTTGAAGAAGAAGTGTTTGAAGACTCCCCACTGTCCGAATCATCTTCAAATTCTCCACCGTTAACAGCTCTTAGTGGACTATTGTGCTTCAGTGGTCGGGTATGACCATTCGCTAAACGACCATCTGGTTCGTTTTTGTTCTCAAGTTCATTTAAATTATGGTCCTCGTTAAGTTTCTTTGACGACGAAGCTGCGGATACCTTAACGTTATTCCTACTTGATTTCTCGTTAGTAACAGTCTTGTCATTATTCTGACTATATAATAGTTCATTGTAACTTTTATTGACGGAACCATTACTCAGAGCTTGACAGCTGGCTTTCCTAGCTGGTGGGCTCACTGTCTCTTCAGGAATTTTGTCAATTGAATTTCCTGGAAACAGAAAAAAATCATTAGCTTGCAATGCACCCCGATGTGACCTACTTTAGTATTTTACTCTGTCTAATGCCAGATGATTTTACTCATCAGTGGAAGAATACTATCAGTTAATAAGTTAACAAAACTATCTGTCAGTGTCTCTTGTTAACCCATTAGCTTGCAATGCACCCAGATGTGACCTACTTTAGTATTTTACTCTGTCTAATGCCAGATGATTTTACTCATCAGTGGAAGAGTACTGTCAGTTAATGAGTTAACAAAACTATCTGTCAGTGTCTCTTGAATGATACCTTTGACAGTATTTTCCACATTCTCCGTAGGTAATGATTGGTTTATCAACTCCATATAAAATTCATTCTCCTTGCTAACTTGTTGAATTTTACGCTAGAAAAAGATTTACAAAGTCTAATGAATTCAGTGCTAGATATCGAGACATGTACAAGTAACTACAGCAGGTAAGTAAACTGTAAAACCAAACTGTGATACCAACCTGTCGTATTTTATAACCTACGTAACTTTTCACACCATAACCCAGGGTTACAACTGGATAACCAATACTATAAATGGCAGTATGGTAGTTAGTGGAAGAGTACTGTCAGTTAATAGGTTAACAAAACTATCTGTCAGTGTCTCTTGTTAACCCATTAGCTTGCAATGCACCCAGAAGTGTCCTACTTTAGTATTTTACTCTGTCTAATGTCAGATGATTTTACTCATCACTGGAAAATTAAGTACCGACAGCAGTTGTAATCGAAAACAGATGGCAAAAAATCCTGTATAAGACTATTCAAATGCCCTGGGCATTAATATTGCAAGCCAAATGAAGACAAAGGCAAATTTAAATAGTCTCATAAGATCAGCTGCCCTGGCAAAAATTAAAAACTCTTTGTAACTTTTTAGCAGATATCCTACGAACACAAAAGTTCATTGTCTGCATTTGAGACCTTCCAAAAACCGCCCGACTTCAAAACCATTAGCAAAACTTCATTATTCCCCCTTTTTTGGGATCGCAAAACATCTCAAATTAACAAGCGTGCCATTTTAAAGGCTGTCGGTAAATTTATAAACATGTAATTTACAAATGTTAATATTAATACAGTACCAATGAGCTGCAAAAGGTCGACATAAATCCAAGTGAAACGGCAGATTTTTCAACTCCTTTAAACGAACCGATGCTTCGACGTAGATAAACAACAGCCACATTGAAATCGTAGGTAATCCTAGGCCGCGATCTATCGTAAAAGAAGGGAAAATATTGATTTTTTTCGTCGACAAGCGAAGCGAGACGTCTCTCAATGTAAACATTCAACCACCACACAAAGAACAGCATTTCATTGACGGGGAACCGCAAGAAATTGAATTAAACAAGTGCTTTAACTATCTACCTGTGTGCCACACGAATTGTACCCAAACGTACGTACTCGCAGCGAAAAACAGCCAGTGAATTGGCAAAACCATCAAACACACAACGTCCGAACACAAGGCCAATCCCAGGAACAGCAAAGAAAAGACCTTTGTAAAAATAGCAAAAACGCACGCGATCAAGCTCGGATACTGCAGGAAATATCTCGGGGAAAGTATCGCGAGAACTTGCAAACCGTTAGCTTTGTTTAAAATGGTTTATATTTACCAATCCTTGGTACTTGAATGAATCGTAAGCGCTTCGCATTAGCAACCAAAATGGCCAAAGATATTCAAAGCGAAACTCTAGCAAGAAGTCCGCTGTTAGAACGAGAATCCAAACGACAAAGAACTTCACGTAGATGAACAAGCTTGGAGAAGAAATAAATCATATTAGTCGGCGCCTAAGATGCGAGTATTAACAAGAGATCAAAACTAGATCCATCTCAATTTGCCTTCAATCAAAATGTATAATATATATTGCAATATGTCTCGGTCGGGTTTTAAACTCACCTGCCATAGACGGATTCGGTTATTTTCGACCGTTTCAAAGGCCTTCGAAGCTTCGAGGTGTCAACGCGTCTCTTAATCGACATAATCCGTTTCCAAAACGTGGAAAAATAATGATTTTCTCGAGAGAAATAATACCAAAATGTCCTATTTTTAAATGATAGAGATCAAACTGTTTTATAAGATTTTGTCTACTCTTCAAAACATTCAACTGCGCGTGCGTGACCGCGCGTCCCAAATGAACCCTAGGGCGAAATTTCTTTGAAATTCCTGTTGTAACAATTATTATCAACTCAAAAAGTTACATATTAACTTTAGTTATAACCCTGTATGAAGATAATTAGGGTAATATTCCAAATCCACTAAGTTAATCCTTAATCTAATCCTTAAGGATCGGCGAAAATTAGGATCGGATTTAGGATTAAAGCTTATGATAATATTCGTGACTTTTGGACTATAAAATTACCACATTGAAGATGATTTGAATATATGTAAATGCCAAAATATACAAGTCTTAACTGTCTTTTAGCTTTCAGCGTTTTTCTTGTCATATTATCAAAGCCATTACTAAATAAACCTTTGTGTTTACTTGCGGTAAAATGTCTAAAATGATTTCAAAATAAACAGCTCGAGCTATCAGCCTATCATTATGGAAGATATGTGTTGGAATGAAATATACTAGTATAAATTGGAACGATACTAAATAAGGATATTTTAGAGATGAGCTGGTCAGCTGGATTACAAAGATTTGTATGATTAGGACGGTATGAAATAATTTTATAGGCTTCAAATAAGACCAATTCTTTACTAGACTAACGTTTTTTACTTGGACAATATTTCAGATGCTTTTCCAGCTGAAATGAACATTTGAAGTGAAATTCAAGGTCGATTGGAAGGGAACCATTTTGTTTGCAACTTTACAACTAAATCCATCCAGTGTCACAATGAGATCAGTGACACCTTCAAATCATCCGGCGGGTTATTCGGGCTGGCTTCAGGTTGGGGCATTCGCATTCGAATGGACTTTGGCACCCATAACAAATGCACGTGGATTTGTTTACGATCGGCGAGTAAGGAACTATTCACAGGGTCACGGAATACAAAGCCTGTTGACACTTGTAAAAGAAGGCTGAATTTATCATTTGTGGTTGGAGATCATGGCTGCTCAGAGAGACTGCTATGGTTTTCCGAAAGAGATCGGCCTTTATTCACCAGAATTTGAAAAATCCTCCTGTGGAGTCGGGTTTATAGTGAACATCAATGGCCTAAAGAATAATGAGGTATTGTACAGGATTGCCGTTTTATCTGAGCTGTATTGATGAAGCTTTTGACCGCTTTTTCTTGTATTTATTTTGTAGTAAATTACCCGTTAGTAAAATATATATGAAAATCTAAACAAATTGGGAATAAAAACGGTTCTATTTGTTCAAAATGTAGCAAACCTTTACCATAAAACTTTGATAAACTTGTGCTAGATTTTGGAGCGAAGACGTGTCGCTTGATCGCCGTTTTTTATACTCCAAAGAGCTGCTCAAAGGTGACGCCTTCATTTGGTGTTCAAGTGATATAAACTGCTTTATTTTAGTTCAAAAACGGGTCGAAATTATCCCTTATTTTTAAACATATCCGCGTTCTAATTTCGATCAATCCGGACTTAAAATCTGTGGAACCCAGCCAAAAGTAGCAAATTTAAACACACCGAACTTAAGCTGGAATATTGGATTTATAGAAGCTGAAAGGCGTCTTTTAAAACAGTCAAAAATCAAATATATGATGCTAATAGCTTGGGCTTTGAAGCACAAGTTGTTTTCTTACCTATAATTACTAAATAATGAGCGGCTTCCTCAGCCGTGAAAGTATGGAATCTTTTAAAGAGTTTTCAGGCGATATTTGGGCTTATTTTCGAATATAATCATTACATTGAGTAAAATTACAGAGTCCGGATAATTTACTACAGGTAATTTGATAATAATACGTACAAAAATGCGAGATATTTTCAAATTTAAATTAGACAAACTTGAAGATGAATTAACAGCTCGCCGCCTCATTAAAGCCGCGTGTCTTAAATTGTACGTTTAAGTAGTTGAATAAAACAAGAAATATAAAGCTATTTTATTGCGTCTGGAAGCAAATTTACACCGTGAAATATCTTATGAAGACATCATTTTTGTTCGACCGTGTAATTGGATTTTTTTATAAAGAAGATTTCAACAAAATCTTAGTCTTTTATCGTTTAAAAAACAGCCCATTAATGGACGCATTTAGATCTTGAGATTAATATGGTTTATTCATATCAATGATTTAGATCACTCAAAGAACTGCGTGGTCGTTATTTCGAAGAACACTTCGCTCGGAAAATATCGAAATATTTTATTTTGAATTGAGTTTACTCAAGCCGAACGTATTTTTTATAAAGAAAACCTGCAATTATGCTGGTAGACAACTATTTCTTTGAAAATCTGATAACCTGCTACGTATATAGCGGTGGGGGAAGGGAAGGGGGTAAGCTCTCCTTGAAATAAGAGAAGGGGGCAACCTCTCCTTGAATAAGAGAAGGGGGAAACCTCTCCCTGAAGTTAGGGGAGTGGGCAACCTCTTGCTGAAGTAAGGGAGGGAGGCAACCCCTCTGTGAAAAAAAAGAAGGGGGCAGTCTTGCCCAGAAATAGGGGAAGTGGGCAATCTTGCCCTAAAATGAAGGAAGCAGGCAATCTTTCACTGAAATAGGGGAAGGAGGCAATCATGCCCTGAAATAAGGGAAGGGGGCAATCTTTCACTGAAATAGGGGACGGGGGCAATCATGCCCTGAAATAAGGGAAGGGGGCAATCTTTCACTGAAATAGGGGGACGGGGGCAATCATGCCCTGAAATAAGGGAAGGGGGCAATCTTTCACTGAAATAGAGGAAGGGGGCAATCATGCCCTGAAATAAGGGAAGGGGGCAATCTTGACTTGAAATAAGGGAAGCGAATAATCTTGCCCTGAAATATGGGAAGGGGGGAACCTCTCTCAGAAAATTCAAACCTGGTGTATAACCTCACACACAAATACACCCTAAACACTCAATTTAAAATCATTACACACCTAGGCATATATAACTGGAAAATAAATATAGTTATCGACACTAATTCCTTAAAAGAACTTCCCGGGCAATGAAATATATTGTGTATGGGGTGGTTTTCATTGCCGATAACAATTTTGCGAAGTGCATGTCTATTGAAAGAATAGTTTTTATTAGAAATGACATATATTCCTCACTCATCTCATGTGATATCAGCCCATAACTCCTGGCATTGCCGAGTCAATAACCGACAACTCAACATGGTTGTTCAAAATCACTCGGCTTAGTTTTGATATGTATTTCTTTCGGCACAGATCATTCAAGAATCCCTGGTTATTCTAAATCACATGAGCCATCGCGGTGGTTGTGGGTGCGACCAGTTCAGTGGTGATGGGACAGGAATTATGACAGCGATACCTCATGAACTTTATCTCAAGATTCTCAGGTGGAAATTAGGATTAAAGCTAGGATTAGGGATAGGATTAGCGATAGAATTAGGGATAAGATTAGCAATAGGATTAGGGATAGGATTAGGGATAGGATTAGGGATAGGATTAGGGTATGAACTAGATTGTGTATTCAGATTAGGGATTTGCTTGGGGATTGGATTATGAATATTAATTTCAGGTGGATTTAGAGTTGGATTAAATATTGGATAAGATTCAGAACTTGCAATTGGATTAATTAGATTAGTATTAGCATATGGATTAAATCAGTTTCGGATTAGGGATTAGATTCAGATCAGATTAGAGTTATTAATTAGGAAGTGATGAAAATGAGCAATAAAATATTGAATTAGAGTTTGGATAAATGAATTTAGCTGGAGCAGGGATTTAAAGTTGAATCAGAATGATTATATGAGATTTATTTCGTTTGAGCTTAGATTAGAGATTGGATTAGACTTAGGGATTAGAGAGAAAATAATGGTAAATTACTTTAGCATTGGAAATAGAATTTACCCCATGGGTGTGGTCATTTTATTGGTAGCTGAATAACGATGACCACAAATACTTTATAGAGATGAAGGATTGGACATAACCCTCCCAGAACCAGGGGAATATGCCACTGGATTGTTTTTCATTCAAAATGATGATCAGCAGGTATTTACTATATTGGGAATAATCATTCAGAGGCAAGATCTTCAAGCGCCAGTCGCCAGCGAATTCGTAGGCGAATCTGTACTAATGGAGTTATCCACTTTTTTAGATCTCCGTCTGTAAGGAACATTTTGAAAGACTAGCGGACGAATGTGCGATCAAGGTAAAGGCTTGATTTCTGTGAAGATTCCTCAAACGAGGGCAAGAGTTGCATGAGAGTTGACAAGCGAAAGTTTACATGAGAGTTTCATCAACTATCATTGCTTGATCAAACGAGAACAAGAGTTGCACGAGAGTTGACATGCGAGAGTTTACATGAGAGTTTCATCAACTATCATTGCTTGATCAAACGAGAACAAGAGTTGCATGAGAGTTGACATGCGAGAGTTTACATGAGAGTTTCATCAACTATCATTGCTTGATCAAACGAGAACAAGAGTTGCATGAGAGTTGACAAGCGAGAGTTACATGAGAGTTTCATCAACTATCATTGCTTGATCAAACGAGAACAAGAGTTGCATGAGAGTTGACAAGCGAGAGTTTACATGAGAGTTTCATCAACTATCATTGCTTGATCAAACGAGAACAAGAGTTGCATGAGAGTTGAAATGCGAGAGTTTACATGAGAGTTTCATCAACTATCATTGCTTGATCAAACGAGAACAAGAGTTGCATGAGAGTTGAAATGCGAGAGTTTACATAAGAGTTTCATCAACTATCATTGCTTGATCAAACGAGACTGAGCAAGAGTTGCATGAGAGTTGACAAGCGAGAGTTTACATAAGAGTTTCATCAACTATCATTGCTTGATCAAACGAGAACAAGAGTTGCATGAGAGTTGACAAGCGAGAGTTTACATGAGAGTTTCATCAACTATCATTGCTTCATCAAACGAATTTCAACAGGTTTTGGGATGGCGCGAAGTTGCAGTAAATTGGAAAGTTCCTGGCCCATACTCGCATCTAAAGAAACCAGCAATTGAACAAGTTAGTCGCTTAATTGAATCCTCCAATGTCCCCTGTTAACCCATTAGCCTCCAACCTATTCATATTCCCGCCATTTTACTCATCAGTAAAAATAATCCTTTGAAAATCATTCCCCGTCACGTTTGCATTCTCGTAACTGGCTGGAAATTGTTTCCTGCAGGTATTTGTCACCAGCAACCATGACACAGAAACGTTTAGGAAACAGGTCTGTTTTCATAATAATGTTCTTGTATCGAAAATCATGTGTTTCACTATTGAATCGGTTCACGTTGTGTTCACGTGAATCCCACGTGCAAAAGTTCAAGCATCTATAGATGATAAATATAGCCATGAAAAGCTCGAAAACTTTGTAAGCGCGCACGGAAATAAACTATAATGACGTCAGACGTGGAAGCCGGATGTTACACGAAGTTTGGCTCGTTAATTTTGCAGAGCCAATCAAAATTCGTGTAAGATCAGATTTTCCCGCGTTTGACGTCATTATGAGAAAGAACAATAATTACTACCTTTGGGTTGAAATTAGCAACGATTTTGATATAGGAAATTTTCAAACTTTCCAAGGCTATATTTTCTTCTTTAAACAACATGAAACAAACAAAGTATTTGTCATCTCTTTCCAGTTAAATGATCCAACTTCATCCCCTCGCTTAGATAAATAAAAAAAACTAACTTGGAGCCGGTTGTATCAAGCCCGTTTAGCTTAAACGATGGATAAGTCAAAATTAAATAACACTCTTACATCTCTCTTGAATGAGTCAACTTGAATATTATGCACTGAATATGTAGTTGTAAACAGTATCTTTGTATCAAGGTTAAAAACATTTAGTTTGCTTGTTGAATAAAACGATAGACTGGCTTTCTATTTTGAACTTATCCACCGTTTAAGCTAAACGGGCTTGATACAACCGGCCCCTGTTGTGCAAATTGTTAAATTTTCACCGACTTTGTAACTTAGTTGATATGACTGCCCCCGTGAAATTGACTTAGATGCAAAACTGTATCTTTCTTAGGTTTTTTTATTACGAAAGATGGCAAGCAGTCATATTCCAACAGTTTGCGAGCGATTTTATATCTGCAGTTTGTCCACGGAGACCATTGTTTACAAGGTAAAAACACGGGCTTACAATTTCTTTGTTGAAGATTGTGAGGTTAGATTAGCAATTAGGATTAGTAATTAATCGTCTAATACAGAGTTGCAAAAAGAGTTCAACCTTCCTCTGGTAGTATTTCAAGTTTGACGTTAGGTCACTAAGTCAAGTAGCATCCAGCATAAAGAAATATTGTTTTTTTTGGTACATACATGTGATGAATTAGAGTCTTTAATTTCGAACCTTCCTCAAAAACCTCATTCAAAGCAAACCTTCCTTCGGGTGGTACCCGCGTACCCGCAGCTTTTTTGCAACTCCGATCATATGCTCCGATCTAATACCAAATTAAGAATTAGGATTAAGATTAGTAATTAATAATCTAATACCTCATAATAATATCCCAATACATATATTGTTAACTTTCGACACTATGTACAATAAAAAGATAAAAAGGCGATTAAAAGTACTAGTTTCGTCCTTCGGATCTTTTTAACATTTGTTTACTATATGGCGATTTGTTGAAAAGGTCCAAAGGACGAAACTAGTACTTTTTATCGCCTTTTTATCTTTTTATCTTTTTATTGTACATAGTGTCGAAAGTTAACAATATATGTATTGAGATATTATTATGAGTTTGAGCAAAACTTTCTTGGCTGCAGCAACAGATATATCTAGACATAATCTAATACCAAATTAAGAATTAGAATTAGAATTAGTAACTAAATAATCTAATACAGAAACGGCTAGCAAGATGCTCTTCAGACCTACCACCAACTGACCAATCAACTACATATAACTTTCATTTCTTATAGGGAATGTTAAACGTCCAACAATTAGCTGAGTTCTATCTGGATATTGGACAGAAAGAGTTCAAGTAATGCACTTTGTATAATTCGTTTTAACATCAGAATTATTCTTTAACAATTTTGTTCCGTCTAGTGTATTGCAGTTAATAGCTAGTTGTTTTCACCTTTCCAGGAGCCATTTTGCTATTGTCCACAACAGATTTTCAACAAACACATTTCCTAGTTGGGAGAGAGCCCATCCTCAACGGTAATTAAGCTAAAAGCTCGAAGATTATTTCTAAACTGTTCTTCCTAGAGGTCCAGTAAGGATCATCTCTTATTGATCCGGTGTTTCTACAGGAGGAAACCTAAACTAAACTAACTTTATTTATACTGTACGATAGCTCTATCAGTTCTAAACTGTTCTTCCTAGAGGTCCAGTAAGGATCATCTCTTATTGATCCAGTGTTACTACAGGAGGAAACCTAAACTAAACTAACTTTATTTATACTGGATAGCTCTATCAGTTCTAAACTGTTCTTCCTAGAGATCCAGTAAGGATCATCTCTTATTGATCCAGTGTTACTACAGGAGGAAACCTAAACTAAACTAACTTTATTTATACTGGATAGCTCTATCAGTTCTAAACTGTTCTTCCTAGAGATCCAGTAAGGATCATCTCATATTGATCCAGTGTTACTACAAAAGGAAACTTAAACTAAACTAACTTTATTTATACTGGATAACTCTATCAGTTCTAAACTGTTCTTCGTAGAGGTCCAGTAAGGATCATGTCTTATTGATCCAGTGTTACTACAGGAGGAAACCTAAACTAAACTAACTTTATTTATACGTTTTTTGTTCATAGTTTTCTCGCTCATAACGGAGAAATCAACACTTTGAAAGGCAACATCAACAACATGAGAGCGAGAGAGGGAATCATGTCATGTGAATATTACAAAGAAAATCTACAAAAGTAAATTTAACCTAAATTTAAGACTTTTATGTGACTCGTCATGTTGACCCTTCTGATTACCTTCCACTGATGAGTAAAATCATCTGGCATTAGACAGAGTAAAATACTAAAGTAGGTCACATCTGGGTGCATTGCAAGCTAATGGGTTAACAAGAGACACTGACAGATAGTTTTGCTAACTTATTAACTGACAGTATTCTTCCACTGATGAGTAAAATCATCTGACATTAGACAGAGTAAAATACTAAAGTAGGTCACATCTTGGTGGGTTGTAAGCTAATGGGTTAACAAGAGACACTGACAGATAGTTTTGTTAACTTATTAACTGACAGTACTCTTCCACTGATGAGTAAAATCATCTGACATTAGACAAAGTAAAATACTAAAGTAGGTCACATCTGGGTGCATTGCAAGCTAATGGGTTAACAAGAGACACTGACAGATAGTTTTGTTAACTTATTAACTGACAATATTCTTCCACTGATGAGTAAAATCATCTGACATTAGACAGAGTAAAATACTAAAGTAGGTCACATCTGGGTGCATTGCAAGCTAATGGGTTAACAAGAGACACTGACAGATAGTTTTGTTAACTTATTAACTGACAGTACTCTTCCACTGATGAGTAAAATCATCTGACATTAGACAAAGTAAAATACTAAAGTAGGTCACATCTGGGTGCATTGCAAGCTAATGGGTTAACAAGAGACACTGACAGATAGTTTTGTTAACTTATTAACTGACAGTACTCTTCCACTGATGAGTAAAATCATCTGACATTAGACAGAGTAAAATACTAAAGTAGGTCACATCTGGGTGCATTGCAAGCTAATGGGTTAACAAGAGACACTCACAGATAGTTTTGTTAACTTATTAACTGACAGTACTCTTCCACTGATGAGTAAAATCATCTGACATTAGACAGAGTAAAATACTAAAGTAGGTCACATCTGGGTGCATTGCAAGCTAATGGGTTAACAAGAGACACTCACAGATAGTTTTGTTAACTTATTAACTGACAGTACTCTTCCACTGATGAGTAAAATCATCTGACATTAGACAGAGTAAAATACTAAAATAGGACACATCTGAATCTATTAGAAGCAAGCTAATGTATTATAATTAAACAAGTTTACTGTCGGTTTTCAGGCTGTTTCCAGTTGTGGAACCAGGGATGTCAGACTCGGGCTGTGTCGATAATGCAGTGGAATTTTTGGTCATGGCTGGAAAGAGATCATTACCAGAGGTAAGTTAAGGCTTTTGCAGAACCTTGCCTGATATGATCTGAATTTTGAGCATCCTTGTTTGTCCATCAGGGGCTGGTTGTATCAAGCCCGTTTAGCTTAAACGGTGGATAAGTCAAAATTAAATAACACTCTTACATCTCTCTTGAATGAGTCAACTTGAATATTATGCACTTAATATGTAGTTGTAAACAGTATCTTTGTATTAAGGTTAAAAACATTTAGTTTGCTTGTTGAATAAAACGATAGAATTTCAATTTTGAACTTATCAACCGTTTAAGCTAAACGGGCTTGATACAACCGGCCCCTAAGCCCGAGTGAGCCATGGAGAGGCTCCTGCATCTCTAAAAAATCCAAGAGTATTTAGATTGACTGGAATTTCATGACAGGAGTGATGCTATTCTTTTGTACAGGCGATTATGACAATGGTGCCTGAGGCGTGGCAGAATGACGAGACGATGTCGAAGGAGAAACGAGATTACTACAAGTGGAGTTCCTGTGCCATGGAGCCTTGGGATGGACCAGGTTTGTGGAGAGCTGTTTAGAACTGATAGAGCTATCCAGTATAAATAAAGTTAGTTTAGTTTAGGTTTTCTCCTGTAGTAACACTGGATCAATAAGAGATGATCCTTACTGGACCTCTAGGAAGAACAGTTTAGAACTGATAGAGCTATCCAGTATAAATAAAGTTAGTTTGGTTGAGGTTTCCTCCTGTAGTAACACTGGATCAATAAGAGATGATCCTTACTGGGCTTGAAGAAAAGAACTGAATTAAACTTTTCGTCGCAGCATTATTCACGTTCTCTGATGGTCGTTATGTCGGAGCTGTTCTTGATCGTAATGGACTCCGACCATCTCGTTATTACATCACCACAGACGGTAGAATGATAATGGCCAGTGAAGTAGGCGTCTCATCTGTCCCCGAGGAGAAAGTCCAATTTAAGGTACAATCCAGTCTAGCTTCCAGCCTATATAGCTCAGATGTATGTAACTTCAGTTTCGTATTGCGGTCTTTGACGCGCACATAATCGGAATGCGTGCGTATGTCACTGACCGCAATATAGAACTGGAGTGATATTTGGACTATTAGGTTTGCAGCAAGCGATTTGAATCAAAGTTTCTTGAAAATTTCTAATCTTTTTCTGTCAAATCAATATTCAGGGTCGTCTTATGCCAGGCCGTCTGCTGTTAGTGGACACTCATCGTGGAGAGGTGATCAAGGATGAGGAATTGAAACACTCTATTTCGACGATGCGTCCCGTCGATGACTGGTTGAACACTGGATTGATATCGCTCAAAGACATACACTTTGCTTACAACAAGGTGAAGGGGTTGCCAGAGGAAACCGTTTCTGTCACAAAGAGCAACTGCTTGGAGATTTCGGTTCATCACGATCGTCGCCTGCCGATGTTTGGTTATTCTGTTGAAGATATTAGTATGCTGGTCCTCCCTATGATTCGAAACAGGTTAGAGCACGTTTTAAACTGGTTGGACATGTTGTGGAGCAGGTTTGACCTGATTTAATACAGGTTGTAGCACGTGTTAAACTGGTTAGACATGTTGTGGAGCAGGTTTGACCTGCTTCCGTAGTACGAGTTAGAGCACGTGTTTAAACTAAATTGGACATGTTGTTAAACAGGTTTGACCTGATTTAGTACAGCAGGATACTCAACAGGTTGAACAAAGTGTTATTGGGCAGCTACGATATCATATTTTTATTTTCAATGATCTTAGGAAAGAAGCAATTGGTTCTATGGGCAATGACACCCCGTTAGCTTGCCTTACAATGCATCCACAGTTGGTGTTTGACTATTTTAAACAACTATTTGCTCAGGTATACAACTTATCCTTTTCTTTTTGCTTTCAATCCGGGGAGAAATGTTTTGAAATGTGCGATAATAGAGTGAATTTCTAATCTCTCCAGGTTACCAACCCTCCCATTGATCCGTTCAGAGAAACCATTGTGATATCACTGGTAAGATATAATTTGGAAATTATTCTTACTGGACCTCTAGGAAGAACAGTTTTGATCTGATAGAGTTATCCAGTATAAATAAAGTTAGTTTACTTTAGGTTTCCTCCAGTAGTAACACTGGATCAATAAGAGATGATCCTTACTGGACCTCTAGGAAGAACAGTTTAGAACTGATAGCGCTATCCAGTATAAATAAAGTTAGTTTACTTTAGGTTTCCTCCAGTAGTAACACTGGATCAATAAGAGATGATCCTTACTGGACCTCTAGGAAGAACAGTTTAGAACTGATAGAGCTATCCAGTATAAATAAAGTTAGTTTAGTTTAGGTTTCCTCCTGTAGTAACACTGGATCAATAAGAGATTATCCTTACTGGACCTCTAGGAAGAACAGTTTAGAACTGATAGAGCTATCCAGTATAAATAAAGTTAGCTTAGTTTTGGTTTCCTCCTGTAGTAACACTGGATCAATAAGAGATGATCCTTACTGGACCTCTAGGAAGAACAGTTTAGAACTGATAGAGCTATCCAGTATAAATAAAGTTAGTTTAGTTTAGGTTTCCTCCTGTAGTAACACTGGATCAATAAGAGATTATCCTTACTGGACCTCTAGGAAGAACAGTTTAGAACTGATAGAGCTATTCAGTATATATCATGTATAGTTTTCATTACTTAGGCCTGCCCAATTGGTCCAGCCAGCAACTTGCTAGACCCAGGCCTCAAGCAGTGTGAACGTTTATACCTCGACCATCCAATCATTTCCTGCGGTGATTTGGAGGCAATCAAGGAATGCAACTTACCAAAGTGGAAGGTAGGCTTCGAAATATAGCGTCAACCATTATGATAAAATATAAAAAATTCATTCGTTGCGATTTTCTCCTCCTGGTGTATGCCATTAAGTAAATTTAACAGAGTACGTTACTTTACTTCGCCAAGTTTATACATCCGCGTACAGAACTCACACAATAACATACGCCAGAAAGAGAAAATGGCCGTTAAAATTGCCCTTTTAGCCGAGGCTTTTCGCCCGAGAAGTTCTTGGGTTCTTACCATAACACAATTCAATTTGGTCAAACTGACCAAATCGCAGCGCTTGACCAGAAAACGTAAATATAAATATAGAATATTACTCCGGAAAAAAATATGGATTTGATTGATGTTCGAGTGATAAAAACAATATAGGTATTGTTAAAATAAAACGATAGAGGTATCGTTTTTGACACGAGAACATAAAATCCATATCTTCGAGGCTCGAGGGAGCCGTGTAATGTTCTTTTTATTATATGGATAAAAATGAAAAAAGGGAATATACATTCGAGATCAACTCATAAATAATCTAAATCTTTGGTTTAAAACAGCGATAGCATTTTCTATCTTATCGCCGCTTGTTCATGTTATCAAACCTTGAAGGAATATCCAGTCGAGTTTGCGCATCAGTTCCGCTCATAAAGCCCTGGGGCCGGTTGTATAATATGTTTTATTAACTACATTTTGCATAGTGAAATCTTAGTTAACTTAGAAATAGCGGTTCTGATTGGCCAAATATGTCCTTAGCTACAGTTAAAAGTTAACTATAGTCTTTTATACAACTTGCCCGAAATTCCCAGATTCCCAGTTTCAGATCTAGAAGTTTTCTTGAGGAAGCCGAAGGCTATAGCTCGTATTCATTTAAAACCATAGCGAACAAATAATGTGACAAATACGAAGACAGTTCATCGAGTTTCAAAAAAATATAACATTCGAAAATGTCAACAAAGCGCGTTTGTTTACATTTCGACTAGATACCTTTAAAAATGCACAATTTCATCGACACTGTAAACTTTTGACTTTATAAATATTTTAAAGTTCTCTTCGGGCGGAATGAAATGAAACAGGAAATACACCTAAATAAATACTGTAGGACACACTGATATACAATACATTACATCACAATGCAGCATTTACAAGTATTTCAATCGCAATCCTAATTTTGAATTTTTGATGTTTGAGCAACCGTATCGGTTTCTTTATTAAAACCCTTTTTAAAGACACCTACCTATGGTAGCCCAAGTAATTATTAACTCTTGTTAAAGTTTTGTGTTCGCAGCGTCTCATTGGCCAACGCGAGTCACGTGAGAGTGACGAAATTCTGTGTCGCGTGCGGCTCACGTGGACACACGACCTTTGAACCTACTTTATGATACAATTTATATCATACCAATTATATTTGGTTCTCTTCGTTTATCATGTGGAACGATATTATTCTGTGGTATCAAACACATCTTTTTAAACAAATTCACAAACTTTGTGAAGGAAACATAGCAGCACCAGCAGTGTATGAAGCCCAGAAGCCCTAAATTCGTTTATCCATATAAGAATTGTGTAAAATTTACATAAATTCGTACACTAACGACAAGGGCAAAGTTTCTTTATGATACAAAGTTCAAATATTCGGTAATACTTGGGCAGGCGATAAATTCTGCTATTTTGTCTCTGAGCACTATAATCCTATATTTCAATCTGACATTCTTCATAAAATATTGTTATTTAATGAATTATTTGCTGTATAATGTTATCCGTTATATCGAGTGTCTTTCTTTGTTTATTGTTACAGTATTTTACGCCGGCGATGATTTCGACATAAGATACATTGTATTGTTCGTAAACTTCTTTCTGCTTTTGTTTTCGCTGACACAACTTTCAAAACAGCCACCCGAGTTTGCTCAGACCATTTTATCCCCGTCGTAATCCATGTAGCAAATGTCTCGCAGTTGTTTCTGAAGATCTGATATCCCGGCCATGTTGAGGGTTGCTCCAAAAGCTCTTCTGCCCTCCTCAATCGTTCTTCAACAGGCAACATCTCCACGTTTTCATCGAATTCAACTCGATACAGTTTACCTTCCGTTGCACCTTTCCAGAATTCCATAATTTCACATTCCCGAGGCGTCGCTTTAGACTTGTTTTCTCCAGTGAAATGAGCGACTCTGGAATCACCAAGATACACTCCGTGATGATAATAATACTCCTCTATATTGAGTATGCGATAGAAGTATTTCATCTTTGGATGTAAATTCACGTAGAAACATTTATATGCAATTTGAGTGCCTGGTTCTAAACCTTCAAGGTTTGTAATTTCCACCATTTTATGTACTGGAGACATGTTTTAGGCACTACGAAGCGATAAGGCTATAGTTTCAGTGTTTCGTGTCTGAAGTTAAACGACCGCGGTCAATTAAGGAAGTAATTAGCCGCTTGATTAGCCACATAGCTCCAGTAACTGGAACGAACGGAAAAGACCCCCACTGATCTCAAAACTACTGGATTGCACATAATTAAAGCTGATGGCCGCCATCTTGGCGCCAATAAATTGGAAGTCTCTTGCGATTTCTGATTATGTTTAGAAACTTAACAACCATTTTACTTTACAAACAGATCTAACGTAACATTCTACTTGGCAACAACAACTATTTTACTATTGTACTAATTGTTATATCTGGGGCCGTTTATTCGAAAGACGTTTAGCTCAGTTAAACGATGGATAAGCTAAAGTTTAAAAATGCTCATATAGATCTTGTAAATGACTGAACCTGCATCTTATGCATTTAATATGTACTTCCATTGACAATTGAACTATTTACATCGAAATATTTCAGCTCAGTTGTTTAATAAATAGATAATTTTGTTTTCCATTTTGAACTTATCCACCGTTTAAGCTAAACGCCTTTCGAACAACCGACCCCTGGGCAACAATGTATCTACAACGCGCCAGTTAATTTATACAAGAAAAAAAAATTTAAAAAAGCGTCAAACATTTAACTTATTAAAAATAAAATCGTCCATTTGACCTGCTCCTAATTAAGGCCAACACGAACGCGTCACGATTTTTTCAATTTCTTAATATTATAAAAAGAAAAAAGGTTTTGATTCTTAAATTTTTGACACGTCTGGTGTCTACGGCCTCCAGAAATTCCCTTCGATTCAAAATTATATTTATTTGATTTCGAAAACGAAGGTCTCCATGACGACACAAGTACTTGGGACTTGAAATAAAATGTCAAGATGCTAAATGGTTTAACAGACATAATAGCACCCAATATAATATATTTATGGCCTGCATACGGACGGAATTTTTTTGGTAATTTTCAACTATGTCTTTTTTCAACTATTCTTCATTTGCCGTGGAAAAACCAACCGAAGATTCTTTAGTTTCAATGCACCTCAGAAATTTTGAGAAACTGCGAGTCATAATTCCCGATTTGGGAGGCTGTTGGTTTGAAATTTTAACTATTTCAACGTTAAAATACCCTGAGGCAAATATCACGCTGGAAACTTTGATAATTTTGTTTATAATATAAGTATGATATAACGAGCAATTTGATTGGCTACCGCGCGTGCATTGTGAGGCCATAATGCACGCTTCTGGCTTTTGAAGTTTTTGTTGCTAAGCAACATCCTAAATAACATGTAAGGAGAATTTCATTATTGATCAAATAAATAGATTTTGTTGTTGCCCTATAATTCCTTCTTATATTATAAAAGAATTAAAAAAGCTCGTCGCGTGCCTTTATGGTGTGATAATGCACTCGGGGAAATGTTGGAAGAATACTCAAGAAGCTTGTAAAACACTCGGCTACGCCTCGTGTTTTACAAGCTTCTCTCGTATTCTCCCAACATTCCCCCATCGTGCATTATTACACCATAAAGGCACGCGACTCGTTTTTAGCTCGCCTGCACTTTAGTGCAAGAGAGCTATTGCTATAGTCTTGGCGTCCGCGTCCCCGTCCCCGTCCCCGTCCTCGTCCCCGTCCTCGTCCCCGTCCGCGTCCACACTACATGATAAGTAGAATGTTAAGATGCCACTTTTATTTTCCCATTATTTTCAACTTATCTACTTAAGGAGTCTATTTGTTGCAAAAGAACCATTTACCAGGGGGGAGTGAACATTATACAACAAAATATAATGATAAGGTCAATGTTAAAATGCTATATTTTTTCTATACTTTGGCTTTACATCAGAGGAATCATTATCAATATAAGTCATCAATATGCATTGTGACTATTTATTGCCATTTGGTACACATTTATACAATAATAAAGAGAGTTTTGCTCAAAATTATCAAATGATAAGGTGAATGTTAAGCTAATTAGCATAATGATAAGGTCAATGTTAAGATGTTATATTTTTTACATATTTTGGCTTTGCATCAGAAGATTCATCATAAATATAGCTCATTGATATGTCTTGTGACTATATGGTGACATTTAGTACACATTTACACAAAAATAATGGGAATTTTGTTCAAAATTATCAAATGATAAGGTGAATGTTAAGCTAATTAGCATAATGATAAGGTCAATGTTAAGATGCTATATTTTTTAAATATTATGGCTTTACATCAGAGGAATCATCATAAATATAAGTCATCGATATGCATTGTGACTATTCAGTGCCATTTGGTACACATTTATACAATAATAAAGAGAGCTTTGCTCAAAATTATCAAATGATAAGGCAAATGTTAAGCTTATTAGCATCATGATAAGGTCAATGTTAGAGTTATCCAGAGTTATCACGCTCATTACGATTTTCAGGGCTATTGTGTAGCCCTGTTTTTTTTAGTTCAAAGTTGTAGCTGAATCATATTTAACGAAACTATTTGTACAACCCTAAGCCAAATGAGAAACTTTCAAATATTTTCACCTGTATGCTACCATTTGTTAGTATTGTACATGTACAATTATAAATTATGAGATTGTGTTGTGATATGCCGTATCAAAATTCAATCGCTTAATATAGAAATCATTCAGGGAGTGAAAATATATAAAACATAG